AGGCTGACTCAGGGGGACAGGGAGCCAGGGTAGGGTGCTGAGCACAGGAGGAACATGGCCGTGCCCGTGAGGGATCCCTGCAGCCAGGTGGGCCAGTGGCAAGCGGGGAGAGCAGGGGAGGCTGGACCATGCCTGTCCGAGAGGCCATGAGGAGCCGGCACTGGAGCGGTAAGTCCAGAGCTCAGATGCCTCTAGCCAGTTGGGCTGGTAACAGATTGGGCCCTGGGTAGAGCAGAATGGTGTTCAAAACTACTTAATTATCCCACCTGGACCACAGTTTCCCATCTGGGGTAAAACTAGTGTCTTTTTCCAGGGTCCATGCAAAAGTTCCATGAGATGAGGAGGAGCCGATGCAGGCTGCAAAGCCTGTTTGTTTTACAGCAATTTCTTTCTTTCTTTCTTCTTTTTTTTTTTTTCACAGCAATTTCTTGAGTCCCTCTCCCAGATATTCTCCTAGGTTCTGGGGACAAGCAGTGAATAGACAAAATCCCTGACATCACGGTGTTTCCTTCTGGTGGGGGAACCAGACACTGAAGAGCAATAATGAATAGAGATCATGTTGCTGAGGGGGAAGGAATGTGGGAGTGAGAGAGGGCTCCCAGGAGGCGAAGGGGAAGACCCCTGAGGACCAGTGGCAGAGGGGAGAGCTAGTGCAGGGACTGTGTGGAGTGAGGGAGGAGCCCTTTTCTGCAGGACGTGGGCTGGTGCTGCCTGGGACAGGAGCCCCTGGGGGCTCTTTGAGATTTAATCGGTGGTGAGTGGATGGCTGGGGGAACACAGCTCCATGGATTAACTCAGCAAAACTTCCCTGTGATCCTACTGTGTGCTGGTCATCAGGCTAGTGAGGCTGGCCATGTCCTCGGCCCCTGACTGTGTACACTGGTGTCTTCTGCACTGCAACAGGAAGGATGCAGAGGCATCATGGGGACATCTAACCAGACCAGGGGTGCAGCACTTCTCTGAGAGGGTGTTGCTTGGCCTGGCTCCTGTTGCTGAGCCAGTGGGAGGCAGCACTGCAGGCAGGGGAATAGTCAGGGCAGAGGCCTCAGTGTGGAAGGGGGGCTCCTGGGAGCCATCGCCTCCGGGGAGCAGTCAGCCCAGCCTCTTTTCTAGGATCTAGTGAGGAGGCAGCCTGGCCTTTCTGGCTGACTGTGTGACCACATGGGCCCTGGCCTGTTTTTAGCTGTGGAACCACTTCCTCCTGCTCCACCAGCTGCCTCCCTGAGTCACCACCCTGTTCCCAGTGGAGAGGGAATTAGACACCTCTGGACCTTTGGGATATAGTTTTTGCCATGTGTGGAAGAGGAGGCAGAGAGGACTAGGCAAAGGTTAGAGTGACCCCCCCCCGGGGGGGGCTGTTTTTATTCCAGGTGACCAACTTGTACATGTAGTGTGCAGGATGGGATTTCAAACCTGCCAGTCCTGGTAGAACCATTATCCCCATTTTACAGATGAGGAAACAGAAGCTCAGAGAGGTGAATCCACTTGCTCAAGATCACACAGCAAGGAAGCAGAGAGGCCAGAAACTGAGTCTCATGCCTTGTCTATAAATAGTCCTTCATCTGCCTGCCTCTGTAGCAGACTGACACTGCCCCGGCAGGGGATAAGTCAGGTTAAGGTGGACATGCTCAGGACCCAAATACCTATTTATTCCACTTAACAAACACTTATATTGCAGTTTCCATGTGCTAGACCGCTGTGCTCAGCACTCTACAAATATTAACTCATGTAATCCAACTCCACGGGAGTAGGACTGTTTACAGATGAGGAAAACACAGAGAAGGGAGGCAACTCCTGCAAAGCCACGAAGCTTGGAAGTGAGGGAGCTGGGATGTGACCCAGGTGGAAGACGGTGGGAGGGTGGGAGTCTGTACGGGGAAGGAGAAGGGGTGTTTGGGAGGCAGCCTGGATTCCTGGGCTCCTGCACTCAGCCTTGGCACCCCGCAAGAGGTCTCTCCTGTGCCACACCCACCTGATGGAGGCGTGGAGGCAGTGGATAGCTCAGGGCCCTGGAATGCCATCCTTCAGGGAAGGAGGCAGTGGGCAGGCTGGGAGTGGGAGCTGCCTGAGATAAGATGTGCAGGAGTCTGAGGAAGGTCAGCCCCGTTGGGTGCGGTAGCCTCCTGGGGAGGGAAGTGCTCCCTGAGCTAGGGCAGGCAGAGGCCGCAGGCAGAGGCCAAAGGCAGGGGAGGCGCTTCTGAGGCCCCTCAGAGAACCACACTTTGGTGTGGGGCCTTCCTTTCCTGGAACCCTGTGCGGGGGGATTCAGAAATTGGGCCGGAGGTGCTCTGTCAACTCTGAAAGTCCAGGAATCTGAGCTACTGTGATTCAGAACTCTGGAATATTCTTAAATATCACTGATTCTACCATTTTAGGATTTGATTTAGCCTCATTCTGCAAGGAGACTCAATGTCCCTTTTATTTTTTTTTATGGTGTTGGGGGTGGAACCCAGAGCCTTTCCTGTGCCAGGCAATCCATTACTCAGCCAGCCCCCAGGCTCTTGATGTCCTTGTCCTGCTCTAACCTGCTGCTGCCATTGTGCCTGGGGTCCCCTCCTGGAGACTGACAAACCTCCAACGAGCAGGGCCCTCCAGGCAGACTCAGATGCGATGGTGCCCTCCCCATGAGAGTTATGTGGCAAAGGCAGCAAGAGTGGCCAGCGGACGGGTTGAGAGGACAGCTCTGCTTCTGCCTTGCTGTGTGACCCTGGGTATGTCACTTACCTCCTTTGGCCTCAGTTTCTCCTTTGTGCCGAGACGCTGCCTTTGGGCGCTCCCAGATTAGGAGCACTTGCTGCCCTTGAAGCACCCGCCCAGGTGGGCTGGTCGGGCGGGAGCCAGAGGTGTCGGTTGGTCATGGAAAGAATGTGAGGGCAGGAGGCCCAGTGGGTGGGGTCTCCCGGCTGAGCAGTGTGCAGAGGGCACCATGAGATCATGGTGTCAAGGCCTCCTGGCTCAGCTCTTCCCCTGATGGGACTTCCTCCAGGCCATCCTTTAGGTCAGACTCAGATCCAGAGTCAGGCCGACCCCCACCCCACCCAGCAAAGGGAATGAAACCCAGGCCCAGAGAGGCAGGCACTGGTCCAGGCTCCACTGCAAGGCCAAGGCGGGCGCTGGGCCCAGGGTCCTGCTTGGGAATTTGGGCTGAGAGGCTTGTCCTCATTTTTTGACAGATGAGAAACTTTGGGGGGTGGGGGGAGGTGTGTAGGGGCAAGGGGTTCATGGCCAGAGCAAGGTGGGCACCTGGTGTGACTGACCCTGTCTCTGTTCACCCAGGGCCTCAGCCCAGCTCAAGGTTAAGCCTCCTGGGGTGTGGGCAGGATGCTTCTTCAGGCCTGCTACCCCCACTCCCCCAGCTCAGGATGTGGGCTGGGAAGGCATTGGGGTCACCGGGGCACCATGGGAATGCACCACAGGGAACAGTGCCCGGCAGAGGCTGCCTTCCCTGACCCAGCTGAGGAAGAGCCCCCACCCACTGATCTGTCTGTCCGTTCCTCTGTCTCTCTGCGCTCACTCTAGTGCGCTCGCACCCTCCCCCATACACTGCCCCACGGGACACACATTGAGGTGTACACCCACACCCCGCATGCACAGCCCTTTTCCCCCTTCCTCAGAGCCACTGTTTGACTGCTCCAGGTGGGGGGTGCAGCAGACACAAGGGGGTCGCCTACAGCTGGCCAGGCTTTTTCCCAACCCCTTCTGGCCACAGCGAGCCCCTGCCCAGCAGATCCCCCTCCACCTCAGCTCTGAAGTCTGTGGGAACCAGACAGTTTGGGCTGTCCAGCCGGGCTCACTTCCTCCCAGGCCCCGGGGGACCTGCGAGGGGAGGAGGGAGTCACAGAGGCTGAAGTCAGCGTGGCTGGCTGCCCAAAGGAGGCCTCTGGGAGGACTGGCCCGCCTGCCCCGGGCAGGGGTCTCCAGCTCTTTGGGTGCCATCCATTCTCTCTCAATATCCACAACCCAGAGCGGAGGACTGAGGCTCCAGGAGGAAGTCAACTGCCTCTGCTCCTCCAGTACTGGTGGCCGCTTGGACAGTGAGGTTTCAGGTTTCTCTGTCTGTTCCTCTGATGAGTGCCACAAATACTCTACGTTTCCTGTCTCCACTCAAGAAGGTACCTACAGAATGTTCAAGCCTAGGGCATGGTCATTTCTAATCAGTACTCAGGACAGCTCTGCCTCGCCCCAAGAAAAAAAATTTTTTTTTTTTCTACCAAGGATCGAATTAGGGACCTTGTGCTTGCAAGGCAGGCACTGGAACCACTGAGCTAAATCCCTGGCCCAAGAAAAATGCCTTTATCAAGTCACTAAGACACTTCTGGCAGTAGGAGATCCAAGTGAGGACCCCATTAGTGCAAGAAATCCAGATGGGGGTGGTACTGCCTTTGAGCCTTGGGTTCCCTGTCCATACATGGGGGAAGGCAGGGCCTTCTAGCCCTGGCATTCCAGGGTTTCAGAAGAGCCCTTTCTCCTCTGGGGGTACCAACAGTCCCACCCTGCCTGATGTGCACCCCGCACCTCTCTCAAACCACAGGGCAAAACCATCTACACCTGGGTGTCATCCCTCTCGGCCACCCCTTTAGCAGCCAGAGTTAGAGCTGGCTGATGAGCCCCAAACGCTGAACCTCAGTTGCTACCACTGTAAATAGGGCTGGCATTTCTCACCCCCGGTGAGATGGGAGGTAGCAGCCTGGGAGAGGAGAGATGCACCACTGGTCATGGTGTCCAGTCATAGTTTGGGGCTGAATAACCACCAGTCCCTTAGGCTGGCCCAGGCTCCTCTGGCCTCTTAGTCACATCCATCCTCTGCCTGCCCATTCCCTACTTTCCCTTCCTCTGCTTTCCTGGGAAACTCCCTGAGAAAGTCTCCAGCAGGAGAAAGCTCATGGGAGACATTTCCGTCCAGAGTCCCCGTCTCTGTCCCACAACTCCACAACCACAGCCAACCCACAGGGAGCCCAGGGTCTTGACCCTCAGCCCCCCACCATCCAGCAAGCTGATCCTTATAATCGCAATGGCTTTTATTGGCCCGAGAGCCACAGAGTCAAGTGTAAGAGACCCCACATCCCCTCACCCCCAAGTCTGGCGGTCCCGACGGCCTGGCTGTGTTGGCTGTTGCAGTCCTGGCTTCCCATCCTAGTTGACCTTGGCCTGCCAGGGCTGAGTCCTTCAAGAGCTCTCCAGGTCCTAGAGCCAGGCTCAGCCTGGAGGGTGTCCTTGACAGGGGCCCTGTGGAGGTGAGGCCACGTCACTCAAAGAAGAACACTCTTGGTGTCCGGTATAGGCAGGAGGGCAGCCCCAGTGGGTAGCCGGAGCCTCCCTGGACAGGGAAGCCCCCTGCAGCCCACGGTTCCTTGGGGTCAGCTGGCAGGGGTAATGGGGCCCGGAGGGAGGCCGGAGGGGTGGGTGGTGCAGGGGAGGGGGCTGCCGAGGCCAAGAGGTGCTCCAGGCCTGTGTCAGCCCCCATGCAGAAATTCAGTGCCTGCAGCCGACACTGGTAGCTGCTGCTGATGCCCGCCTCCGGGGTCGCTGTGGGTGTAGGGACCTTGCTAAAACCCTCTGCCTCGGAGAAGCCAGCAGGAAAGCCAAATGCCGGGCACGGAGAAGACGAGGTGGCCATGGGGAGCTCTTCAGGGCCTGCAGGCTTAGGCGTGGGCATCTCTTTGGGCTCCACGGGTGGCTGTGGCCTTTTGTCAGCAGTTGCTGGGCACATGCTGGCTGGTAGAGCCCCCATCAGACCCCCAAAGCTTAGGCCCTTGGGCTCGGGCAGCTCTGGTGGGAATGGGCTCTGCCTGCCAGTCGTAGCATCGGGAACTCCTGTGTCCTGGTTGGCGGTTCTGAGGGGCCCACGGGGTGCCTTTGCAGAGCCCTTGGTGCCCTCAGCACCTGCCCGCCGGGTGAAGCGGCGGCGGCGACGGAGGAAGCTGCCGTGCTGGAACATGTCGTGGCAGTCAGGGTCCAGGGTCCAGTAGCTGCCCTTGCCTGGCTTTCGATCATCCCGGGGCACCTTGACAAAGCACTCGTTGAGAGACAGGTTGTGGCGAATGCTGTTTTGCCAGCCGGGCCGGTTGTGGCGGTAGAAGGCAAAGCGGCCCATGATGTAGTGGTAGATGCCACTGAGGGTGGCCCTTTGCCCTGGCGAGCTCTGGATGGCCATGGCGATCAGGGCTATGTAGCTGTACGGGGGCTTGGTGGGCTCTGTCGCAGGGACCAGTGGCCCTGGTGGTGGTGGTGGCTGCTGCATGCTGCCCAGGCTGGAGGCTGCTGGGACCACAGAGGCCAAGCACAGATGTCCAGGGCTGGTGTCCGGCACAGCCTTCCCTGGCTGGTTAAAAGGCCCACTGGCCCAGCCTCCCAGCCTGGAAAGGCAAAAAGGGGAGGGCCCGCCAGGCTGCTCTCCCTCCCACCCTCACCACCCCCTACAAGCCCCAAGAGGGGCGGGCAGCAGAGGCCAGGGCTGAGAAGCCTGGAGCAGCTGCCGGGTGAGGAGGTGAGAGGGAAGGGACTGAGACCCTCAGCCCACAGGGGCTGGGCTGCAGGGGCTGGAGAGGGCCAGAAGGTGAAGCAGAGCAAGGGAAAGACAAAAAGAGGCAGGAATGTAAAGGAGCAGAGGCAGAAACAAGACAGAGAGAGGCAGAACCATAAAAAGAAAGATGAAGATTAGATGGACGAAGTAGACAGAGAGAGAGAGAGAGAGGAGACATACGCACAAAGACAGGCAGCTCATGAGACTGGGAGACAGAAAGAAGGAGCTGCACAGAGATGCAGGTGCAGACACAGGTGCGGTGGGGTCCTGGTGAGAAACCAGAGGTGGGCAGAATCTAAGCAGTGTCCCCATAGAGTAAAGGAAGCCCCAGGGGCTCCTCCAATCTTCCCTCTAGGCCTCCCTTTCCCTCTGGTCCTCTACCACCCCCTCCCTGAAATGGGGAGCATTTGCCTGGAGCACACTCATCCCCATCCTGAGTACCCGGTGTGTGGGCTGACAGGAGAGCACCCCCTGGTGACTGGCATGGGGAGGGCAGTGATCTGGGTGGAGATTTTTTTCCCTCCTGAGGGACTCTCAAGACCTTGCTTGGCCAAGCAGGTCTCCCACCTCTAAAATGGTGCTGGCCTCTCTTCAGCTGTCTGGGCCACAGTGAGGAGGCAACAAACTCCCTTATGCAGCAGCCACAGCCCCATCTGTCTGTGGATTGTCACCGTGAACTGAGGCTCCCCTGGGTGCAGCCAAAAGCCAGGCAGTCTGCCCTTGTGATGGATGGGTAGTGTCCTCCTTGTTTGACCACTCCCAAGTCAGTGGTTACCTACTCTGTGTCAGGCCAGTAACAACCCTGCTTCAGAGGTCTTCATAGCTTCTCTTGTATAGATGAGAGGTCTAAAGCTCAGAGAAGTTAAATGACTTGCCTGAGGTCACGCAGCTAGTGAATGATAAAGCTGGGATTTGCGCTCAGGATTCTGTAACTCCTTAGCACCACCCCTTCTGTGAGCATCAGGAATCAGGACCTCAACCATCAGTCACAGACCTCAACTAGAAAACAGGTTGTGAACCCCAAGAGACTAGGGACTATGCTGTTTTGCTCTATCCCTGGCATTGGACATGGGAACAGAGGAGGTGAAAAAAAAGTGTCTGTTCAATGACTGAAAAAATAGTGATTGATTCACTTCTGTCCTTTCATAGATCTGTCCCATCAAAGCGGCTTACTGGCTGGTTGTGTAGCTAGTGGCAGAGTGTATGCTTAGCACGCTCAAGGGCCTCGGGTTGATCCCCAGCACTCACATAAAAAGTGGCTTATTTAGGTATTGCTAAGAAGACTTATTATATTGGCAACTGTAAGAGGATTCCTTTACAGTCAGCAATCAGAAAAGGAAAAAAAGGTTACTGTACTCACAAGGCTGGGGGAAGTGGACTCCCACTTTGGTCTATGCCTTAGGGTTGTGTTTGGGAGTCTGCCTTAGTTTCTCCAAAGACAGCACCTACAGTGGTTCAGTGGTTAGTATCCATTGCCCAGGGTTCAGGCCAAGTCCTCTGTTTTGTGACCTTCATTGCCCTCAAATAAAGAAAAGAGACTGGTGGCTAGGGGGAGGAAGGGTCTGGAACTGGAGCCCCTTGAAACCCAGGCCATGTGGTTGCTGGCTGGCTGCTCTCTACACAGCCTGAGGATCTGTTTCTGGGAAACTCACCCTTGAGTGAATGCCCTGTGGACCCCACTGCAGGGTGGGGCTGGCTTTCTGTAAGTTGTCATCAGCATCTGGGGCTCTCCACAAGCACTTTAGTCCCATTTCTTGCCCACTGGTGCATCCCACCCCGTTCGTCACCTCCTGGGGCTCCACCCACATGGACGAGGCAGAAGATGCCACTGCCTTCACCATCCTGTGACCTGGGCACAGGTGGAGGGAGGCCCTCAGTGCACTGACTCAGTGTGGGCAGGGTTGGGGGCACAAGGCCGCACTCCTGGGGGGCTGCCTTCAGTGGGTGTGAGAAGGGGAGGCAGCCCGCTTAGGGCTGACTCTGCCACAATAGAAAGTGGCTGATGCTACCCAGAAAGTGGGGCTGAGGGCCCCATGGGTGCTTCGAATGCAGGAGGAGCTCTCGGATGAAGACCAGCTCCACTTGTGGGGAGGGGCAGTGAGCCTACATTCCTGGTAGGAAGTCACTGAGCTAGTGACAGCCATGCTCCACACCTACATTTCAGGGATGCTAATTCAAACCAGAGGATCAGACAGGGTCTGGAGGGGGAGGTAGGACTGCAGAGGTCAGTGAGGGGCCGGCTGGAGGGGACCAGGGGGAATGGGTCTCCCCACAGTGGAGGGCATGACTCACATGGGCCATGGTGAGTGGTCCTCCCGGCTGGTCGGGGAGATGAAGGTACTCCTTGTCAAGGCACAGCCAGATCTGGTACTCCGGCTCTGGCCACCATTCTGCAGGTGGACATGCAGTTCTATAGGCACAAGACTGTGGGTTCTGGGCCAAGAATCAGGCAGTCCATCCAGTCCCACTTGGAGCTTAGGCCCCAAGCCCATGCCCCCATGTGTATCTGTGCCTTATGCCCACTTCCACATCCCTATGGCTGTGCCATGTCCACATTGGCACCCACTTCCAGGGCCCACTGCCCCATGCCCATCCCCACGCCTTGATGCCTACCCACTGTCCACTGCCAGGCACCTATGCTTTTCTTGTGCTCAGTGCCTCTGATGCCCACCCTATGCCGGGTGCCCTATGCCAACAGATGTGTCCAAGTCCTGCACTTATGACCCATGTCCAAGGCTCCAAGGCTGCCCGTTATTTTTTCCCAACCCAGGGAGTTTCTGTGTCGTGTCCTTTGTTTCAGTGCCCACTCCAAGCCCAGCACCTTTAAGCCCACATCCTGGCACCCACATCTCGTGTGCCCACATTCCTCCATCTGTGTTCTTTTGGCCATCTCGCACCCATGCCCATACCCAGCCACCCTGGCCCTCGGCCACACTGTGACATGCTTACCCTGGAGGAAGCGCCACGTGTCTGCAGCTGGCAGGCGCGCTCACGCTCCAGCCTGTTGGGCAGGTGAGGGGTCAATAGGCCGAGCCAATACTCGTGGCCTTGGCACAGGCGCTTGGCGAAAACACCCTCTGGAGCCACCCACAGCAGCATGCCTGGCTCCAAGTGGTACAGCAGACACTGCAGCACGTGCATGGAAGCGAACGCACTCTGTGGGCCCAGCAGGTAGTCGGTGGGTGGCGGCGGCCTGTAGGCTCAGACAGCAGCCCTAGACCTTGCACCAGCGTCAGGCCGTAGAAGAGCTGCATGTGCAGCCAGCAGTCTGCAGGTGTGAGAAGAGAAGGGTGCGGGCTGGCGTTGGCGGTGCCACCCACCTTCTTCTCTTCTCCGCCTTCCTCTGCAGTGGGGGGGGGGAGCGGAGCACGTGGGGTTCTTCCGGCTCCCCTCCCAATCTGTGATACTAATAATGCTAGCAGTAGATTCCAGTATAAACCAACTGCTTGTCCAGCTCCGTGATTGAAAGCACTGGTTCTGGGGTCATCTGGATGTGACTTTGAGGCCCTTCCAGCCCTGATCTCCAGGGTTCTAGGAGCTTCTAGCCAGGAAAGATTTTAATGCAGTCAGAAGTAACAACACCAGCAAGGTTAGTAACACCACAAGGTGAGCCAGCAGCATAGTTCAGTGTCAGGGCTGTAGGCTTGGCAGCCAGGACTTGGATTCTACTCTTCTACTGCAATTTGGGCACTGTGACCTGAAATTAGCTAACCTTGGGTGAGGTTCTTAACGCTGTGTCTGGATTTCTGCATGTGCAAAATGGGGATAATGGGAGCATCTAAGAGCTAAGGACACCTGGCATAAACTCAGCCCTCAAATGTTAGCTGTTTTGGCTGTTTTGGGGAGTCTGGGCTGTGTGCTTTGGGTGGGAGATGAGCTAGCTGGCTTTGGCCCTGGGCCATCCCTAGTTCTGCACCTGGTCAGAAGGGAAGCCCTTTAGATTCCTCACTGGGATTGCTGAAGTCCTCATCGGGGGCCAGGCTCCAGGGGCATCCAGGCTTCGGTGCCTGGAATTCTGGCAAAAAAGGGTACACAGTCAGGCTCCCCCATGCTGGCCCCCTGGACCCTAGATCTAGGAGGAAGTCGGGAGACAGGGGAGGTGAGAAGACCCAGTCCTTACTGTGGTCAGCCAAAGGGGTTGGGAGGAGGACCGCTAGGGGTAGGGAGCCCTGCTTAGCTAGTCTGGGGGCTGCTCTTTGCCATCCTTTGTGGCCAATCTGAAGCCATCCTGAGGATTAGGAGAGAGGGCCATCCATGGAGGTGAGCCACAGGGGTTGCAGACTGACTCCACCTGGGCCAAGGGAGGTCTGGAGAGACTGAAGACTGGAGAGGGCTCATGGGGACTCTGAGGTTTCAGAACTCAAGACCCTCCTTGCCCTGGAGGTGAAGAGAGTGTGGGTGTGTTGGAGATGACAGGGTCAGAGGTGGGTCACTGTGTGGGGGAGAAGTGCTGAGGATGGAGAAATTGGAGCTGATAGAGATGGGAGGACAGAGCCATGGAACAGATATGGATGGGGGAGACAGGGACATGGGATGGGTGAGAGCTGACAGGGGTGAGGGAGATGGAGACAGCAGTGACACATAGCTGAGTGCAGACAGAGCAATGGAGACAGAGTCGATGGGGACAGCTAATGAAGAACAAAGCATCTAGAAGCACTTTAGCATTATGTTGACAGGTTATCTAAATAGTGAAACCATCTCAAACAGCACCAAAATATGAAAAATGTAGCAAAGGACATTTATTTCCAGTAGGGGAACTGGAACCAGAAAGTAGAGTTGCCTTGTTGGACTTCACCTTCAAATATCCCCACTGGGCAACTGAAATTTCTTGCTATTCTGTGTGTGTCTATGAATGGCCACAAAAATGACCCGTGTATTGATTTGGGGGGTTATGAATATATTTTAGCAAGTAGAATTTGCAAACATGGAACCCATGAATAATGAGGATTGACTGTATGTGATAGGGAAAGAGGAAGGGGAATTAAAGAAGAAAAAAGAGATAGATTGAAGCCAGATCATGCATGTCCTTGAAGGCCACGCTTTATCTCCTAGGCTTCGGGGCACCAGAGTCACATGTCACTGTGGGCAAGGAGTCACATGTGTATGTCAGTGCAGGACTGAGGATGGGGAGAGCAGCCCTCAGAATCTCTCTCCTCTGAGCAGCACCATATGCATCTTAAGGGACAGGACATGCAGCCACCAGTTGAACGCTTACTGAGCACCTGCTGTGTGCCAGGCAGTGTTTAGTGTCACCACGCTTATGCAGCTCATGGGGTAGTGGTGTAAGGGACAGACTCGTCTCAGACTTAAAACCCATCAGGAATGTTGTTCCAATGGGGGAAGCATCCAGAGTCCGGAAACTTGGAAGAAGCACTGAGCTGGGGCGTGAATGAATCAGATCAGTGAGTCCATCAGGAGGGCTTGCCGGAGGAAGAGGTGCTGCAGCTGAGAACGATGCTGTTGGCCAGGCAAAGATGAAGAGGGAGTTGAAGGCAGAGGGAAGAGTGTGCACAAAGCTCTAATGGTGAGAGAGACAGGAAGCATGTAAAGGGGGCACAATGAGGTAGGAAGACCAGAGCAGCCAGGGCTCAGGTGCCAGGTGAGCTGGTGAGTGTGGTCCTGGGGATATGCTGGGAGGCAGCTGAGCACCATGCTTGGGGCTTGGCAGGGAGGCTGGAGCCATGTTCAGGGCACAGTGGGGCTAAGAGGAGATGGAGATAATGAGGTGGGAGGCAAATGGAGGGAGAGGTGGTTCAAGAAGCAGAGATTCTGGAAAGCAAATGAGAGTGTTTCAAGGAGGAGAGAGGAGGGACAGCCGCAGGGGCCAAAGAAGGGGAAGACAGTGATGTGGTCCTTGGATTTTGCACCTAGTTCTCTTTTTTTGCTACTGGGGATCGAACTCGGGTCCTTGGGCTTGTGAGGCAGGCGGCGTGCACCTAGTGACATTACCAGGAGGGACAGAAGCCAGATCGGGGTTTAGGGGGGTAGTAGCTAAGAAGGAGAGGTTAATGAGGACCTTGTCTGGTGTTCCTTGCTGTGAAAGGAGAGGGGAGGACAGAGAAGGTGGAGCCGGAGATGATTCTAGTGTTTGGGGTGGTGACAGTGGTCTGATGTACATTTGGTTGCTTATTGTTCAGGGAGAGATTTCAGAGTTTAAACGTTCGTGGAAAGGAGCCAGTTTGGAGGAAGTTAATAATCACCTGGAAAGGGAGGCCATTGGTGCATCAGGACTCTGAAAAGGGCTGGCGCTGGGAACTCAGAAGAGGTTCCCAGGTGGGTGGTTGGGGGTGGAGGCTGGGGGAGTTCCCAGAGTGTCTCTGACTTCCCTGTGGGGTGGGACCAGAGGCCTGCCGAGGTGCGGATGGTGCGGCTTCAAGGGGTCGGTGGCTGGTTCTTTTTAAAGAGGGTGTCCAAGGGTTTCCAGTGCATGGAGAGCACTGCCTTCAGTCATGGAGGCCAGGTGAGTGGCCCAAGGTCTCACAACTCATAGGTTGGTGCAGCTGCTGGGGTCACGTGAGAAACCCGTGTCCCGTCGGGCCTAGCAGCGGTGCTTGGCTGCCAGGTTCCAGGGAATGTGGAAGAGGGTCTTGCCCAGGTCTTCCCAGAGCAAACCAGCGTAGCGTCCGTCCGCTCTCAGAGATCTGTGCCACCAGCCAGTCACAGAGGCACAGGGGACCCCGAGTTCCCGCCACAGACCCGGGGTCTCCGCGGACCGAGACCTCCCTGCCACCTTCCACCAGGGGCCGCGGGAGCGCAGCGCGCCTCTGGCCAGGTCCGGATGTGCGATAGCTGGATCCTCTCTCTGGGGTCCGGGAATCACCTGGAGGGCGCGCAGAAGCGACAAAAGTGAAAGTCTGCGCGTGGATTTCGCTTTCCCTTCCTTCTCTCTGGGGAGGCTTTTCCTGCCGCTGTCGAGCCTGGAGAGCGTCCGGACCTCCTTGAGGGCGGGAGGGTGGGGCAACCGGAGACAAAACTTGCCCCGCCCCTGCACGTGTTGTCTGCTTTTAATTCACTCGGAAATTTCTTGGACTCACCCTCCTTCGCTCCCTTCTCCACTTTTTTGAGCTGATGTTTTTTGATTTCAGCCCTGAGTTTCCCAGGCTGGGCTTGAAAGCGATCTTCCCTCAGCCTCCGAGTAGCTGGGAATACACCATGCAGAGCGGCCGGTTTCTTTTTAGGACCTGGCCTGTCAAGAGATTGGAAGGCAAAGTGCTTCTCAAACTGACTCCTGTCATACTTGGGAGGCAGTGACTGCTTTCCAAGGCACATTCAGGACCTCCACCCAGACCTGTAGAATCAGTCTTTGTGGGCAGGAAGCCCAGGAACCTGAGTTTGAACAGCCCCACTTATTTCCTGGGGCACCGGGAGTCCCTTTTTACTGCTGTTCATCATGGTGCTGGGCCTGGCTAAACCCTTCACCCAAGTGTCTCAGCTGGTTTGCGCACAGCGTTGCAGGTGAGTATAATTACAGGGTTAAACCCCTATAAGGAGGTCACAGAGCCTGGTGGGAGAGCCAGGATCCAAGGCTGGGTGTCTCTGTGCTCCAGAGCCCAGAAGCCTAAGCATGTCCCACGCTGCCCCGGCAGCTACATCTGGAACTCATGGATTATTGGTGGGGCCTGTGATCCCCTGAAATCGTATGTAAATTTTTTCATATCTATAGTTGGGCACATCTGTAATCCCAGCATTCTGGGAGACTGAGGCAGGAGAATCACAAGTTGGACTCTAGCCTAGGCAATTTAGCGACTTCTTGAGACCCTGTTTAAAAAAAAAATTTTTTTTAAAGGGGCTGAGGCTGTAGCTCCATGTGAAGGCCCTGGATTCAATCCCCAGTATGACCCCCCAAATTCACATCGATGCATTTTTCTGGGGTCTGTATCTTTCATTAAATTCTCAATTTATGATATAAAAGATGTTAAGTAGCTCAGACTGCACCACCCCTTGCTGTGTACATGGTAAAACTGAGGTTGAGAGGGAAAAACTATCCCTTTCTGCTGTGGGCTGAGGGCTGGGGTGCAGCCAGCACTGACCAGAGGAGGAGAAGGTTTTTCTGTTTTCCTTCTTACCAGCCCCCACATGCCAGTGGCTCTTCCCACACTTCTGTTAACTATAGGCTGTGGTGCTCTAGTGGGCCACAAAGCCTTTCATAGGCAGTGTCCCTCCAGGTCCTTGGGAGATGAGGTCCAGGAACCCTTTGATACCAGAATTCATGGATACTCAAGCCCTTTATATAAAATGGCACAGTATTTGCATATAACCTGTGCATATCTTCCTGCAGACTTTAAATCATTTCTAGATGATTTATTTATTTATCTATTTATTGGTCCCGGGGATCGAACTTGGGACCTTGCACTTGTGAGGCAGGTGGTGGAACTACTGAGCTAATCCCCAGCTCTCTAGATAATTTATAATAACAAATGCAACATAAATTCTATGTAAGCAGTTGTTACACTCTATTGTTTAGGGAATAATGACAGGAAAAAATCTACATGTTCAGAACAAGTGCACTGTTTTTGGAATTTTTTTTTATCTGAGGTTGGTGGCGTTTTTTGGATGTAGTGTCTGAAGCAGACCATACATGCAAGCAGGAGTTTCCAGTGTGTCTCATTATTTTTCAGGTTGCAGAGGGAAGTAATAAAGGGTGCAGTCTGCAGCCAGACCTCCCAAGTTCACACTGCAGCCCACCACTTGCTGATGACCTTGGACACCAGACTTGATTTCCTACTTTGCTTGATGAACTGAGATGCAGATAAAGTTTAGCTGGTGGCTGCAGTGAGGTTTATATTGTTTAGCTGGAGTGTGGGAGGTTTGCTGGAAGGGGGAGGGAACATTGTGAAGGGCCAGGACACCAGACCAGGGGGCTTCGTTGTGTCTATAGATGATGGACCCACAGAGGTTTCTAAATAGGGGAAGACACCAGAGGGTGGGTGGCAGCACCGCTGACCAGCCCAGGGCACACAAGCTCCCTGGACTCTGAGGAGCCCAGCCACCTTGCTTTTCTCTCTCTGTCCTACCTTGGAGACTTGTCACTTCCTGTTCTGTCTGCCTCGAATGGTCCTCCTGGTAGCAAAATGGACCATCCCCACCAACTGACCTGTGCTTTCTTTGGTTTATTAGTGTGGTCTCCATCAGCAACACTTACATGTTGCTCAGAGGTGTTGTTCATTGCTGTACCCTGACCTCAGCATGGGACTGGGGTAGCAGGGAGGGGTTATTTCACACACACACGTCCTCCCCTCCATGCTGGGATCTGCGCTTCCCTTACAGCCCTGGCCTAGTGTTTGGTGCATGAGTAGAAATCCACACCACTGTGTTGGGTTATAGCTACTTCAGACCTCTCTCAAAGTCAGGTTAGTTGTAATTTAGGGAAAACCAGCTCTGATGTCCTCTATTTATCCTTGGAGTCAGCTGTTTTGTTGGACTGCACCATCCTTTAAATGCTAGGCCAGAAGGGTCATTGCCACTAGCTGGAGCTGGCTCCTTCTCTACAATAACCTCCAAAGCCAGAAGGAGCTGGGACTCAGACTAAGTTCATACCCAGCCTACCCAACTCTAGTGTTTGTCCTTGAGCAAGCTGCCTGACCTGTCTGCACACTACCTGGGTTTTCCCCCTGAAGATAAAGTGAACCCAAGCAATGAAAGGCCAGGTATAAGGGAGGCACCATGGAACCTTGCTGGCCAGTATTTGTGACTAGGAGGGGCACTGGAGAAGAAGAGAGGGTCTCAGAGAGGAGGAAGGGGGTTCAGAGAGAAGGAGAGACTCAGAGGCCTTGTCAGGAGACCAGGCTCCTGGAGGGATGGGAGGGGGGTACTTGGTCAGATTAGTGCCTGGCCCCAGGTCTCAGAGGTGCAGACTGCAGCTACCAAAGGTGTGACAGAGGCACAGACTCCCTCCTGTCCCCATCTCCGCAGGTTCTTGTGTCTGGCCTTTGGGGAATGATGAGGCAGAGGGACAGGCAGCTTCTGTGTCTCTTTAATGTCCTGTAGGCCTGTCCACCCCACTCCACCCCTCCCACTCTGCTGCCTCTCAGGGTGGAGGTCAGGCCCTCCCAGCCCAGGGACTAAGGCACCAGATGGCTGCAGCAGGCCGGCCAGACACAGACGCACAGAGGGCACAGAGGGCGGCACACTGACTGAGACGCGACAAGCAAGGGGCAGGCAAGGGGACAGGCCGCTGGGGCTCCCACACCCTGGGGCCCATCCTGGTCGAAGAAGGAAGGCCCAGAGAGGGGTCCGCCGGGAGGAAGCGGGTCCTCACTTGCCGCCCTTGCGGGACAGACACCGAGGGAGGCAGGAGAAAGTCTGCTTAACGCGCGCCAGCAGCGGCAGCGGCCGGTGGGCGTCCCGAGGCGCGCGCGGCACCAGGCGCTGCAGGGTCCCCTCCGAAGCGGTCGAATGCGGCGCGGCCGAGGCGGCTGAGGTCGCTGACCCCTGGCGACACCGCTTGCACAGCGGCAGCAGCGCGCGCACGTCCTCCTCGTCGCGGAACGGGCTCTCGCCAAAGCGCTCTTCCAGCTGCCGGCGGAGCTGCTCGGATGGAAGCCAGAGTCAGAGGGTCAAGGGCTGCCCGGTGCCGAGAGCCCCAGTCCTGTCCCCGAGCCCCACATCCCCCATGGCTCTCTCAGGCCCGGCAAGATCAGCTTCTCAGGACCGGCCTGCCACCTGCTGGGAGCCTTCCAGGGCTCTCCCTCCTCTCCTCTCTGTCCTCTCACCCCTTGTTCCTAATGTCAGTTCCTGACATTTCCCTGCGCCATCTGCCCAGGAGCTCACAAGAGATTGCACTGACCTCAGGAAGACCCAGGGGTGGACTAGGACATGAACAGTACTCCCCAAAGTGGTCGTATGCTCAAATGACTTGGAAGCAGGCAGATAGAGCTGGCAGAGGGCAGAGCTGGGACCCTTGGTCACACATGAGGGCCCACAGTCTGGTCTAAAGGCAGCCAAAATCCAAGTTAGTAAAGAAAAAAACAAGCTGAACCGAAAACTATACCCAGGAGCAGGATGAGCTCAAGGTCCCAGTTTGAGACCTCAGGAAAATCTTGGGCCAAGTTTGAATTCTTCTCAACTAGTGGTCAGTTCAGGTAGGAGGAAGGTTGTCTCTCCACCTCTTACCCCACCCTGACCCCCTTACACCAGGCCTCCCCCAACTTGGCCCCTTCCAGCTCATGGTAATCCCTACCTTCCCAGAGGTCCCCCAGCCAAACTCTTCAAGCTGCTGCCTAAAGCCTGGGTTGGGATTGGCAATAGGCCGGGTGGACTTGATGGCTTCAAGCACTTCTCGCCAGCCTAGTCCCGTCACTGTCATCACATAGGCTGTCACAATGGTGGTGCTGCGGGAGATGCCTGCAAAGCTGGATCCCCATCCCCCATACTTCAGGTAAGGTGCAGCCTCCCCACCCCCCAAGCACCCCATCCCCACTTCAGCTCCCCCATCCTTGCCTCCTGAGCTCCAACCACAGGGGACCTCCAGGGGCTGTCTTCCTAGCTACAGGGCTTTGCCTGTGAGGTTCCCTCTCCCTGCCATTCTGTCTCCTGCAGCAAAGGGCTAGGTGAAGCAACAGTCATTCATTCAGCAACTTTTCTTTTTCAGTCACTGAGGAATGAAATAGACATGGTCTCTGCTGTCCCAGAGTTTATAGTTTGGCTGGGGGAGACACACTAACCAGAGAGTTTCAGGGATGGATAACTACTTTGAAGATGAGTCTGGGGACTAGGAGGTCCACACAGGAGGAGGTATTAATCTGGGGGGGGGCAGGATTAGGGAAGACGTTCTCAAGGAAGTGACATCAAGCTGAATCTTGAAAGATAGGTAGGGGTTAAGTCAAGAATGAGTGTACAAACCATGAGGGGAAGCCTGGTAGATATGAAGAATGGGAAGGAGATTAGTGTGGCTGGAGTGAGGGAAGGAGGTGAGTGGGTGAGACCAGACTGGAGAGAGCTGGTCCCCAGTACAGGCTCAGGCAGAGCCAGCAGGAGCCTGGCATGTGATAGGTGCCTGGTTACAAGTTTAGGGATGAATAACATCAGCTGGGCCAGGGAATCTGAGAAGACTCAGGTCCCAACTCCAGGTGCACATTCCCCACTACCCTGCACCCTGATCTCAGAGGCCTGGGGGAAAGAGCCAGGAGTTCATGTGCTCACCTCTCTCCATTGCCCTGTCAGTTCAACATTCTCCTCCCATTTTATAGACAAGGAAATTGAGTCTCGGGGACAAATAGCTGCTGGGCCATGACCACCCACCTGGTGAGGAACAGGACTTTGGCATGAGCCTCTGGTTGGCCACACAGAATCAATGGTGGGCTGTCACCACCATGGCAGGATGGAGGAGCTCTCTTCCCAGGACAGGAGAGCCCTTACCGTGCACCCTTTGCCTGTCACTTACCAGTGCACAAGGCAGTTCCCTCCGTCGAGACGGCAGGAGTGGATGAAGTCGATGCATTCTCTGAAGTGTTTTTTGCTAAAGAAGAAAGCAATAGAGTAGGGAGTGCTGGGGGACAGGGCTTTTAAGAGGTGTCCCTTCCCCATTTACAGGCTGGCAAAGAGCCTGGGGTGCTGGGTGTGGTGGTGCCTGTAATCCTAGATAGTCCAAGAGGGTGAGCCAGGATTTCTGGTTTGAGGCTGGCCTGGGCAATTTAGGGAGACCTTGCCTCAAAATGAAATTTAAAAAACAGTGCTGGGGATGTGGTTCAGTGGTAGAGAATTTTCCTAGCATGCACCTGGCCACAAAAGCTCTGGGTCCTCAGGCCAGCCAGAATGTGCAGTGAATAGCGGCCAGTGCTACAGCACAAGGTGAGGTTGGGGGGCGGGGGGAGGCAGCAGTGGTGGCATTTCAGGTAGTGAGAGAGGCAAACCTCACCATCTAAGCAAAGCAACATACCAATGGGTCCTGAGGGTCATTTTTGGGGAGGAGGAGGGGTTAGATAGGGTCTCACTATGTAGTTCAGGCTGAACTATGTAGCTGAGGCTCATTGTTATGGTTTATGTCTATATGTTCCCCTAAAGCCCCATGTCCTTGTAAGTGGGGCTTTTGGGAGGTGATTAGATCATGGGGGTGTGATACTTATCCATGGCTTAGTCCACTGATGAGTTTATAGCTAAATGTGAGGTTGAGAGGTGAAGCCGGGTTGGAGGAGGTGGGTCACTGGGGGCGTGGCCTGGAAGGGTCTATGTCCCTGCCTCCCATCTTGATCTCTCTCTGCCTCCTGCCACCATACCATGAGCTGTTTCTCCTCTGCCATGCTACCCTGCCTTGGAGCCAACTGAGACTATGGCCTGAAACCTCACAAAATGTGAGCCAAAATAAACCTCTCTTCTTTTAAGTTGTGGGTATCAGGTAATGTATCTCGGCAACGCAAAAGTAACTGAGACACTCATAATTCTTCTGCCTCAGCCTCCTGAGTGCTGGGATTATAGACATGAACCATCACTACTGGCTGTGTGTGTGTGTGTGTGTGTGTGTGTGTGTGTGTGTGTGTGTGTGTTTCTTTTTGCCTTTCAAGGAAATAGGTAGGAGGAGACACAGAGGCCCACTCCTCTGGGGTCTGTACTCAAGAGCATCTGGCAACAATGATGGCTAGCAATGGGCTGGGAACAAGATCCCCAGAGGGCAAGAGTTAGGTTTAGGCCCATCCCATGGGGGCACTGATGCTGAGACACAAATGAAATTCCCCTGTTTTTTTGGCCCCTGCTATATACCCGGCCTGGTCCTAGATCCTCAGCCTGTGTCATCTGATCTTTGAAAGCCTCCTTGACTCTGATCACACTTGTTTTACAGATGAGGCTCAGAGGAGGAAAGTGATTTGTCCAAGGTCACAAAGCAATAAATGGCAAAGCCTGGGCAGGAGCCAACTGTCTTAACTCCAAGGCCAGGAACAGGCTGACCCTTTCACATCTGCTGCTGCACCTGATCCCAGGAATCATTTCATAGCTGAGACTGAAGCTCGGAGGCTGAGTCTTGGCTGGGGACATAACACAAGGGCAAGCAGAACCAGAACTGGGTCTGGGTGTCCTGGGACAGCTTTCCGGCCTGAGTGTTTCCTCTCCTCCTTCAGACCACCTCCCTCTTCCCTCCACCACAGGAGGCAGCTGTCTATCTATCTGGTGGTCCATCTTGGGGAACTTACATTAGTACCTCGGGGGTATCAGCCACTGGGATGCGAAGGTAGATGATATCCTGCAAGTATAAGACACATTCAGGAGACTTTGCCCTCACCCCTCCAGCCCCAGCTTGAGCAGCCCAAGTGCGACAGAAGCCCAGCCCAGTTCATGCTGCTCTCTGGGCCACTGTTGCCTCTCTGTCCAAAGAAAGTTGACACTGTCTCCATGGGCCTCCAGCTCTGTCTGTGATGTCAAAGCCTCTGCTCAGATGATGTCCTAACCCCATAGGTGACTTCACCTAGGGGTTAAGTGAAGGACCTAGAAATCTTCTTAAAGAGATTCCTTTCCAAGTGGGAATTACAGAATTACATAGTAAAAAAATGCAAAGCAGATTTGATTACCTTGAAAAGAAGTAAATATTATGAAATCAAGTTTGTATTTTATGAGTTATGGTTAGAAAACCATTGCTAATTATTAGAATAGTCAAGAAGTAAAGTGTGCATAATTTCCCCAAAATTCTTGCTATGAGGTCTTTTGCTCCTACCTAACTGCCACCCAATATTGTAAAAGATTATTTTTGCTCATGCTCCAAGGATCTTGCTGCATTTTCTCAAGGATCTTCCTTGATGCTTTGATATTTTAAATAAACTTCTCAGGGGCCTGATTGAGGTCCTCAATTTTCCATGGCTTTGTGTGAGGTTCTGGCCCTTCTCTGTCCACCTCATACTCCCCAAGGTCATGAAATCCTGCATCTTTTGCAAGATTTGCAGTTTCACTTTGCAACACATTTGGCCTTGGCTTTGCATGGCATTATCAAACCCTGACTGCTAAATTCACTGATGGATGAAAGGGAGAGATGCTAGTGAAAAGGGAGGGCTGTTGGGGCAGGGACTAATGCTATACGCAGTCATTTCATTAATGAATATATTAATAACTCAACAACCCTCCCAATGCAATCTATTTGGACTGCATATTCTACTCCAAAAATTAGGCTGCCCTATAAAGCAAACTCACACTCCATTGGCTGAAATTTCCTCTTAGACATTGAAAGTCATAGATTAATGGAAGCTGCCCTTAGAGACCATCAAATCTGACTGAAAAAACTGAGGTCCAGAGAGGAGAAGGACCCTGCCCAAGGTCACACAGTAACTACATGGCAGAACCTGGTCTCCGTCTCTCTAGAGCCTTTTCCCACCCAAAGTTTCTTCCCTTCAGTGGATGACACAGGCTCTAGCAGATAAGGAGGAAGAGGTGTGGGGGTGAATCTTGCTTATGGAGTAAGAATATTGTAACTTTGCTATTTCAGTTGTAATTTGTTGAACATCTCATAGCTCAGTGAGGTAGGCACTATTATGAAATTTCCATTTAATAGATCAGGAAACTGAGGCTCAGGGGGGGAAGTCCTGTACCCAAGGTTACAGAGAGAGTAAGTGAAGATGTGAATTCAGGTCTCCTGATTCTAGCATCATGGCCTGGATTTCCTACTTTCCTCCTCTTTTCCTAGGATTTGATGACACCAGCACCAACCCTCCAGTGGGGGCCATGCCCAGTGTGCAAAACATCTTCGCCATCTTGCAGTTCCTTTTCAGATTATAGCAGCCTCTGGGGGCAGTCAAGGGTGAGGGATCAAATGCCCAGCCAGAGAGGTGAAGTCACAACTCAAGACTGCACAGAAAGACATAGAGCTCAGAATCATCTGTTTAGAATCATTCATCCATCTGGGCAATGGGAAGCCCATGTGGAAAACTGTTTTCCCCCCTGGTGCTGGGGATAGAACCCAGCACCTTGTGCATGCTAGACAAGCTCTCCACCACTGAGCTACATTCTAGTCTTCATGGAGGCCTTTTTAAGGATCAGTGTGAGACCTCTGAGGCTAGATAGCCTGTGTTCACATCCAAGCTGACCAGCTTCCTGGATATGTGGCCTGAGAAGAGTTAATTTACCTCTCTGGGCCTCAGTTGCTAAAGAGGGATGAAAATGTAAAAAACAGTCCAGTGATGAAGGAGGAACGAGTAAGCATGGGTCAAGAAGGCAGCACAGAGCTTCCCACACAGTAGGTACTTGATCAGTGAGTGCTGCTGGGGTCTACAGCCCACCCTCCCCAGCTATACATAGCCCTGGCATGGAGGTTCCAATACCTGCAGCAGAGGCTGTGGCGACTCGTGGATAGAGATGATGTGAGTGATCTTATTCCGTCCCAGCTGATCTGGGTCTTTGGCATCTGAAAGAAGCAGGATGCTTGAGCCAAGCTGGCAGGTGTGACTTATTTGTTCCTAGAGGGAAGTGTAGCAAAAGCCCAATGCCCAGCTCTCTTCCTCACCTCTGGGGTACCCATAAGATGCAACCCAGCATCTCCTGGCCTTGTTCACGCTGTTCTTTCCATGCCAAGCACCCTTCCCAGCCCATCCTTTGGCCCAGCCGTTCTACTTCTAGGAATTTGGGGATGGAAGTGCTTATGCACAGGAAGCTGTACGGAGGCTGGTATTCTGTGCAGCAGTGTTTATATCAGAAATAGCTAAACAACCTGAACAACCTCATGTCCATCAAAAGGGAACTGGGTAACTAATGGTAAAAATGATCTCTGCGTGCTGAAAAGATGTTCACATTAGTTTCAAGTGGGAAACACAGGATAGGTTTCCACTGTTTTCAATATTATATCTGTATCTAAGATGTACAAAGAAGGACTCAGGGATATACCCCACAGTACCATCAGTGGTCATCTTCCAGAAGTGAATGTGCAGTGTGCACGGATCTTTTCTAACCAAAGAAATAACACACAGCCCCTCTGTCTCCATACATCCACTTCCTCATTCAACAAACATTTCCTGTGGGCTTACTATGTGCAGCCTTTGTTTGGGCATTGGTAGCCCAGGAACAACTCCACGGCTCCTGTCCTCATGGGACCTAAACACTTAAAGAGGATTCAGACCTCACTTAGTCAAACACTAACAGAAATCACTGTGGCTAGAGCTGCTGAGGTGGCTCCCAGGAAGGAAGGAACCCGAGTGTAGAGGGTGGCACACCTGAGCCCTCTGGAATCTTCTCAGATTCCATAGACTGAAGTGAATTTCCACCTTGGGCCCCCCAAGCCCTGGACTACCTTTCTCAGTATGTCTTCTACCCCATAGGCAAAGGTCTGTGTTCAGACCTGCCTTCTACTGCTGCCTGGAGGTCTTTGAGGGCAGGGACTGTCTGGCTCTACCCCGTACCCCTTCCCCAAATCAAATGTCTATTGTGGAAGGGACAGATTTGGGAATGGGAAGGCAGGAGTCCATAGGCTCAGAACCCTCCCCCACCAGGGGCCTTCTGGCTGCTGTTCTCGGGGGCTCTGCTGGGCGATGGGGTCTCTACTCAGGACTCGGCTTGCCAGAGGCACAGCACCTCCAGAGGCCTCCTATGTGGAAGAGGGGGGACAGCAGAGCTGAACCTTGGGGCCAGAAGAGTCCTAGGGCCCCGAGGGCCTTGTGTGGAGCAGGTGGCTAAGCTCAGAGCTGATTTGCCCAGGCCTGCAGTCAGCACTGTGAGCCCTTGGTGCTGTCCTATGATTTCTTGGTGGATGCATGTGGAAGGTTGAATGGGGAAGGATGTCAGTGTCAGACCCCTGATGCTCCCTCCTTTTCCCTTCAGATCTGGGGACATCCCTGCCCTTGAAACCTTGCCCCCCCTCACCAGCACCTTTCCCATCCCTTCGTGGTATGGCTTCCCTGCCCCCAGCCTCATTCCTGAGAGCATCTATCATGTGTGGGCCAGGGCAGGAATGGTGGACACAGGCCTGGGACAGGCAGAGTGCCATGGCCTTGGGACACAGTGGGCAGTGCTCACCAATGAAGTTTCCAAGGTAGAGTCCAGGAAGTACCTAGAAGAAGGACAGGCAGGGGTCAGTGGATTAAACTGCACCCTTTCCGACCCCTGGCAGCTGGAGGACCCACAGCCCCTCTGTCCCATGAAGGGACACGGAGGAGCAATTGCCTCCCTTTATGGCCTTGAGCCCTCTGTGAGAGGGGGCTGGGGCTGGGGAAGGATAGGACAGAAGACAGGCAAGTTAGCCACAGGGAGGGACCAAGGGAGGTCAGTCTGGGGACAGGTGAGAGGGAAGAGGGGGTGCTGAGGAGAGGTGAGGGAGGAGAGAAAGTCCTAGAGGAAGAGTTGGCCAGGAGGGGACAGACTGAGGCTGTCAGGTACAAGCGGTGAGAGCCAAACAGTGCAAGTACAAGAGGTCAGAGACAGGGGACAGACAGGCAAGTCAGAGACAGGAACTCCCCGGAGAGAGAGAGCCCGGGAGTGACAGCCACAGAAAGACAGCAAGAGTCAGAGAGGACAGACAGGGAGACACTGAGACAACGGTCGGAAGTGGTCTGGGAGCTTCAGGGGAACAGACGGCGGACCCAGGGCTCGCGGGGGGACAGGAAGGTCAGAGGCGCAGCCGACCCCGTATCCCGCCCCTACCTTGGTCATGCCATTCCCCATGATCCCGGGCCCAGGGGGCCAGGCGCACCCTCTGCTCGCCGCCCGGAGAGCACTCAAGTCGCAGCTGCCCTGATGGCCCAGGCCCGGCGCCTGCAGCCTGGCGGGGAACCGGGGGCCCGGCGTTTGCGGCCCTGGCCAGCCCTGTCCAGCCGCCACCGCCCGCCGACCCCCGGCCCGGGAGGGAAGTGATGGAGCTGCCGCTGCCACCGCCTCCACCACCGCAGGCTCCTCCTACCCCTCGGTCATGTGGGGCTCCCCTCCTTGGGCCGTGGTGGGGAGCCGGACAAAGCCCCAGTGTGCCGTGCCGACGGCCCGCAGGACAACGGCAGCTTGTTGCGGCCGCGTGGGAGCCACCTCCGGAACGGGGGCGGGGCGCTGCCCCCACCCTGGCACCGTCAGGCGCGGGCGATGGGGGCGTCCTAAAGCCTCCCTCCCAGGCGGGGCCCAGAAGCTCAGACCACAGTTCCGGCCCTGCTTGGACCTCTTTTCTTCCCTGAAGCAAAGCACCAGCTTTATCCTGCCTCAGTTTGCTAGTGAAACAGTGATGGGTACTGGACTTTGATCGCTAAAGGCACTCTGCTCTTCACATCCTGCTTGCAGCAAGAAAAGTGGGTAATCTCCTTCTTTACACACCCCCATGCAGCCATCTTACCACCCAGCCTACTTCCTTTTCCCACTGATCCTCCTATTCACCCATCACACTTCCCCATACCCACCTACCCACCCACCCACCCATTCATCCATCCATCCAACCTTGGTTCTATCTCTCCATCCATCCATCCTTCCATCCACCCACCTATTTACCCACCCGTCTATCCACTCATCCATCCATTCACTTATTCATCCCTTTCTTCCCTCCCTCTCTCTCTTCCTTCTTTCCTCCATCTGTCCATCCTCCCATCCTTCCAACCACCCATCCTCTCTCTCTTTTTTGTTTTGGTACCAGAGATCGAACTCGGGACCTTGCACTTTTGAGGCAGGCACCGGAACCACTGAGCTAAATCCCCAGCCCAATCCTGTCATCACTTCATCTAGTCTGACCCCTATGAGGAAGATGCCATCTGGGAAGGCTCTAGGGGGACCAGGTGTAACTGCTGTTAGAGCCCCCAAGAAATCAGAAGTAAATGTGGGGAAAGGGAGGTGTGGGGACTGGGTTAGGAAACTACAAGAGGAGTTAGAGGCAAGAGTACTGGAAGACCAAGATTCAAGGGCCTGTTCATTTCTGATTTGCTGAGTGACCCTGGGACAGTCCCCTTGGAGTCCCCATCTGACCCTGTTTGTATTTTTCAGGAAGTTGAAGAAAGTTCTTCCTTCCAGGCTACTAGGACCAACCATGTAAGATATTGAGACCAGACAACTGCTCTGGGTCTAAACAGCTTTGTTTCTCCAGCCGTCACCTTCCATCTATAATAGTAGATGACTCTGGGGGAGCGTTGGCACAAAACAGGACACAGAAACAACAGAGTCCATTGAAATGCAGTGATTGGAGAAAAATAAAGCTTTTCTTCATGTTTCTTCCTTCCTCAAGTTCACAGCATACCTGGAGCTGTGTATCTCAGCTATCTCAGTGCCCAGGGTCCTCATAGACACCAAATTATTCAGCAAATACTTATTGAGTCCCTTCTGCATGGTAGGTACTAGGGACACAACCATGGGAAAGTTGCTTAACTTCTCTGCACCTCCGTTTCATCATCTTTAAAAAAGGAACAAAAATCCCTATGGGTCTGTAGTGTGATTAAATAGGAGGACATATTTAAAGTACCTAGTATAGAGAATGGCACATAGTACATCGTTGTTGTTAGTATCATTGTCATTATTACTGTCATGGGACAATTGACAGGGAGTCAGGAAGCCCGAGTTCTACTTTCCTCAGTAGGACTCTGTTTCCAAATCTGTAACAAAGGAAATGAATACACACCTACAAGTTCACCAGCTTTGTCTTTCCCCTCTTCGCCACTTTCTTGGTCACTGATCTGCATTCACTATCTCAAGCATGCTTTGTGCTCTCTCTGACTTTGCATACACTATTCTGTCTGCCCTTAATGCTCTTCCCAACTGCTTTCCTGGGCTAACTCTCATTTCCTCCTGGAAGTCTTTACTCATCCCAATTAAACTTGTTTAGACCCCACTGTGATGTATTCCCAAAGCATTTTAAACTTCTGTCCAGATGATACTTCAACCTATTTGCTTCAGCTGTGTTGTTTAAACAAAATAAAACATTCTAAATAGACTTGAAGTGGTTGAAGTCCCTTGTCCTCTTCCCACTTCTTTCTCTCTCTCCCCAGAGGCAACTGCCCTCATGAACTTGATGTGTATATTTTAAATCATGTTTTAAAACTTTCAAAACCTATATATCTGCAAGAATATATTTTAGTATATGTGCTGCCGAAGCAAGCACTATCTGCAAGAATATAAAACATACTTTCACACATGGTTATAATTAACATAAATTACAAAGTTAAAAAGTTTATCACTCTACAACTTTCTTTTATTCATTCAGTGATACATTCTTTGGGGGATATTTCCATGTTAATAAAGATCTGGATCATTTTATCACTGAATGTAGTACTTTATTATTAGAATATATCACATTTAATTCATTTATCACCCTTATAGTTAGATTACTAAATATTACTTATATTTAGATTACTAAATATCACCTGGATATTTAGGTTGTTTTAAACACTTTTCACTAGTATAAAGAATGCTACAAAGGACATCCTTACACTTATGTCCTATGGGCAGGTGCAAAGTTTATTTAAGAAGATTTCACTGTGCATATTAGCTACAGGTAAAGGGAACTGCATGCGGCTGTGCAGCTGTATTCAGCAGGCCGATGGGATCTAGCAGTAGACCGCTGGGCTGTAAAGTGTGTGTATTCTCAACTTTAGGAGCTATTGCCAAGTTGCCTTCTAAAGCATCAGTGTATCAATGGTATGTAAAGATTCCCATTTCCCCATGCTTCACTGACACTCAGCCTCGCCAAGGCACTGATACGTTTTTATTTTTTCGCACCTGATATATTTCAAATCATATCTTATAATTGTTATAATTTCCATTTCTAGATTGGATTATTGGCAGTTTGAATTTCTGTAAAAATTCCCTACTGATATTCTTTGCCCATGTTTCTTTTGTGAAGGTCTGGGTAGAGCTATCTTTTTCTTAATGGTTTGTAGTTCTTTGGATACCAATCTTTTGAGATACATACATACACACAATTTGGGGCCCTTTGTGTGTCTTTTTTTTTTTTTTTACTTGGCACACACATACATGTGTTGAACCCAGGGATGCTCTACCACTGAGCTATATCCTCAGCTCTTTTTATTATTTATTTTAAGCCAGAATCTCATTAACTGCCCAGGTTGGCCTCAAACTCACAATCTTCCTGCCTCAGCTTCCCAAGTATCTGGGATTACAGGCATGTGCCACTATGCCAGGCTTATATAATGTTTTTGCATTTGTCTGTGTATCAGCATTAGTACTTCACATATTGGCATGTGTCAGGAATTCATTCCTGTTCATGGCTGAATACGTCTATGTATATATTGTAAATTATTTATCTCTCCGTGGATATTGGGTTGTTTCCACTCTGGCTATTTTTTTTAGGTTTAATTTTTTTCCTTAAATTCTTTTATTGGTACATTTTAGGTATACAATACATTTACATTTATCATTGGGAACTTGTACCTTTACATGATGTATCTTGGTTCTTATTTTTTCCCTATTCCCTGCCCTCCCTTCCCTATTTACAAAGACTCTGAACATGTATGTATACATTTTTTTTTCAGTACCTGTTTCAACTCTTTTGGATATGTATGCGTTTTGGACTTCCTGTGTTTTTGTTCATGGTCTGTAACCATCCATTTAATTAATGTGACATTTGTTTATTCATTAACTAGATACTATTGACTATCTGCCCAGTATTAGGCATTATGTTAAGCTCTGAGAACACTGTGGCAAATTAATAAAACGTTTTCTTTCTTAGTGCTTATGGGGAGAGATCTGCCTGGAGGAGAGGAATGGATGGTCAGAAAAGGTTTTCCTGAGCTAAAATGAAGGGAAGATCAGGCAGAGAAGATGAAACGAGCCAACAGTAAACACAACCCCAAGTTTAACAGGGATATGTGTGTATATAAGAGCGTGGGAGATGGGAAATGAGGGTCAAACTAGTAACTGAAAGAAGGCTGGGCCCTGGAATAGGAAGAGCCGGCAGGGGGTGGGGGGGTGGGGAATGGTAGGGCAGATAAGGCTGGCAAATTCTCAGCAAGGACTTCCACCCTATCCTCATCTCAACAGTGAGGAGGGAGCAGGGAAAGTTTATATATGCAGGGCAGAGATGACTGGATTTCTGTTCGAAAGTGTTCTTTAGCTGCAGGGGTGAACTGGGCCCAGTGGACACTAGTAGGTTGATCAGGAGGCCATTTCAGGCATTGAGGTGAGTTTTGGCACAGTTGGTGCTTAAGAATTAGAAAGAGATTGAGAGAGAGAGCAGAGATGAACAGCCACGTTACTAAATGACCAAATGAATCAGTGCGGGACTTTCCTTGCATAAGAAAACTTGGTACCACTCTATTTACCAAAGAGAAACCACTTTTCAGATGAGCGCTCTTGCATCAAGGAAGTAGTGCTGAAGGGGGCGCTGGGCAGTAAGCGCCTGCGGCTTTAGCCAACCTCCGTTCAGAAAAGTGGGGCTGGGACTGAAAAACTGAGAGCGTCCAGGAATCCTTAAAGTCCAGGGAGTACAGGAGGCTTCAGGGGCTCAGGTGGGCGGAGCCTGCGTCTCCGCCGAGAGGCGTGTCCTTGGCTCATCCAATCCGAGCACTATCTGGGAGCCCCTTCGTCGCCTTGACAACACGACGCACAGGGTCTGGAGGAATACAGTGGCAGTTTGGATCCGATCCTGGAGAATTGAGTCATGTCGCGACCAAAGGTAGGAATGGAACAAATCCAGATGCTTCCGTCGTCCTTAGATTGAGGGAGGGAAGCCGTGGAAGGATTCAGAACCTGGAGTGAGAGTCCACGCGGAGGGATTCGGGATAAAGGGCAAAGAAACGCTGAATTCGCAGGAAAGATTACAAGTCCCGGTGTGCCGCGCGCCTCCCGAGCTACTGCGCACGCCCGGCAAACCCAACCTATTTGGCGGGAAGGTTACAAGGCTGGAGGTCTGCTGTCTGTCTTCTCTGCGAGACTCCAGGATCTCGTCTGTATTGTTCTTTCTTCTATTCCCAGTGCCCAGCCCTTCTCTGACGTAGAGTTGATCGCTGATGAGTGGGTACTGTTCAACAACTAGTTGCTTATGCCAAAAAAAACCAGGACTGTATCTTGACTCCTCCATCTTCACCTCCCATATCCAATATTCTCCTCCTTTAACTCTCTAGATCTACCTTAATTCATTCTTCTCACCACCTCTACTATTCTGCTAATCATGTCCAATTTTCAATTAAAATACTATTTAAACACAGATGGGGACTCATATCACTTTTAAAATGTATTATTATAAAAACAAAATACACATCTGCTGCTTTAGTCCCTTGCCATATCAACCTGACTGACTTCTTTGAAGAGGGAGCAAACTGCAAGATGTTGGGGATGCATCCTTGGCAGCCTATACTGTGAATATTAGGGTGTGGCAGACCTATGTTGGACGACAGAAAAAAAATAGCAGACCTTTTTGTGACATAATGTATTTTGTTATTGTTGGGGAGAGGCAAAGGTCACCTGTATACGGTATCGATGTAAGACTTTGGGGTTTCCTTCAAATAACCCAGGACAATGGGAATATGAACTTATTAAGAGATCATTCCAGGATATACTGCATGCACCCTCACAAAAATATGCCCAGAGAGAGGAAAGCCAGAAGTCAGAGGTCACGTGTTCAAGCCTTTGCTTTCTCCTCCTCAAGGTTACAGTCTCTAAAGCCTCAGCTTTGAGGCATGCTGGGAACCTTCCAAAGGGCAAAGGGGAAATGAGAAATTGGATAAGGCTGAAGGAAACTGGCTCTGAAGGAACCAGCTGAGCAGTGAAGCTGGGCTCTGGTTAGGTGACCAAAGTCCAAGCACAATGTATAAACTAGTGTAGCAGACTGGTTTCTGCATGGATGTTCCCACTTGGTGAGAAGTACCAGAGAGCCTGCAGCAGGGCTTGTGGCCTAGAGCCAGCTATGAAGGAAGCTGGCTGTGTCCTGAGCAAATGTTCTTCCTGACCCAACACCAGCTGGTACCATTCATACCCTCCTTCCGTTTTGTCTGAAGCAAAATGAGAAGTACAATTAAAGTTCTCTTTTATAGTCCATATGAGCAACTAATCCATCTCTGAGTTGTTTTCTTTTCTTTCTTTCTTTTTTTTTTTTTTTTGGTACTGGGGATCGAACTCAGGACCTTGCATTTTCAAGGCAAACGCCGGAACCACTGAGCTAAATCCCCAGCTCCTCTGAGGAATTTTCTTTAAAAAGCCTTTTTCCAAAAGTCTTGTAAACTTGTCTTTCTAGATATGCTATTTTAGTGGTTTTGGGGGGAAGTATTCATGTTCCTAGAGTGTTTTTCACATCAAGATGGTAATAGGACTTCTATCTCAGGCAATATGGCAGATGAAACTCCTTGAAAAGACTCTTAACACACACTTAAAGTATAACAAATGTCTTTGGAAATGTGTAGCTGAGCTTGTGGATGATGGTGATTGGAAGAGAGATCCCCAAAGCCAAAAAAAAAGGAAAATGAAGAACAGGTGTGTTATAGCCGATTAGTTGATTCTCCATTTCTCTTGGGGAAGAGGTTGCTCATTTCACAAGCAAGAGACTTCAGGAGTTGAAGGAGCAGCATGGGGTCCCCTGTGCAAGGATTGGAAATGAGAGCACTCTCTAAAGCTGGACAATTCAGAGGTACCACCCTTAGCAAATCTGTTAACTGGAACAAATTTGCCCTTCTGCAGTGAGAGACAACTAGGAAGCTATTGACTCAGCTTGGGCTCTAGGCACTAGGCAAAAGGTCTTTTCTGAAGAGCTTCTGGGTTGCTGAACACAGGAAGTGCTGGGAGGGCTGTGCTCTGGAGGGGAGGGATGGTCACTCCACCCTTTCCCACAGGCCTTGCCCTGGGCGTCTCTTCTGTTCATCTGTCATTTGTATACTTTGTAAAATACTTTATGATAAACAAAATGTAAACAAAACAAGTCTTAGAAGTCTTAATCATGGTTGAGTCCTCAGACTAGTCTGGTAAATGCTGAGCCAAGATGTTAACATCAACTTGGCAGAAGTAAATGTTAAGCATCTCTGGAGAACTGCAGCTTTGACCTTCATAATGGTTGAATTATGTAATAGTTATATAATAAGAGACATTTTAATTTGATACATAATAATTGCATAATTACATTAAAAGCTATTTTAGATGGGTAAGGAAGTAAAAAAATGAATTACCTGAAAACCCTTAGAGAATTAGGGAATAGTAGGAAATTTACTCAGTTTGTTAGATGACAAGAACCTATAGCCAATATCATTCTTAAAGGCTGAAATAGGGAAGGCTTTACACTTAAGGTTAGGAGCAAAAGAATATTTATTCTCATTAGTCAACACTGTAGTAAGTTTTAGTGAATGCAATTAAGCAGCAAAAAGATATAAAGGGCATAGATATTGAAAAGGAAGAAGTTTTCACAGAAGATAATTGTATACATAGAAAAGTCAAAGAAATCTATAAACCATTGATACTAAAAATTTAGCAAAGACATTGGATACAAAGTCAATATACAAAAAAATTATAATCTTCTGTACATATTAGTTTTCAATAGCTGCTGTGACAAAACTACCACAAATTCAGTGGCTTTAAAAAATACAAATTTAGCGTATAGTTCCTAAGGTCAGAAGTCTGAAATGAGTCTCACTGGGCTAAAATTAAGATGTTTTCAGGACTCACTTCTTATCTGAAAGCTCTATTAGAAAATCTGCTTTCTTGTCTTTTCCAGTTTCTACGGGCCCTTGGCTTATGGTCCTCTTTTATCTTCAAAGCCAGCCATTCTCAAATTATATTGCTCAGACACTAACACTGACCTGCCTCCTTTGTCTACATTTTTTTGTAACAACTCTTGTGATTACATTGGGCCCTTCTGGATAAACCTGAATAATCTCTTTAAGGGGAGTTGATTAACAATCTTAATTCCATTTGTAGCCTTAATTCTCCTTTGTCTTATAATGTAACATGTAACAGATTCTAGAGATTAGAACATGGGCATCTTTGGGGCTGGCATTATTCTGCCTATCACAAGTTACAGTCATCAGATAATTAAAATGAAATTTAAAAACACTATTTATAATAGCATCACAAAATCAAATATCTGACTTCTATAATTGAAGACTAGAAAACATTGGGAAAGAAATGAAAGGAGATGGAGAGACTATATTCATGAGTTGGAAGACTCAGTACTTTATGATGTCACTTCTTCTCATCAATGATTTATACATTCCGTGTAGCTCAATCAAAATTCCAACATGCCTTTTAGCAGAAATTGGCTGATTCTAAAATTTATATTGATGGGATTGGGATATAGCTCAGTGGTATAGCTTAGCATGCATAAAGCCCTGAGTTTAGTCCCTAGCATCAAAAATAAATAAATAAAATCTATATTGAAATGCAAAAGACTCCTAGTTGCAAAAACAACACTGAAAATACAAAGTTGGAGGACTTATGGAACTTGATTGAAATATTTACTAGAAAGCTACAGTAATTAAGATAATGTGATAGTGATATAAGGATAGACAAGTAAATAAAACAAGTGTTTAGTGATAGATCCACATTACATGTTTGATTGAATGTTGACATGTGCTAATGCAATTCAGTGAGGAAAGGAAAAGTTTTACAATCAAAGGCTCTGGAGCAAGTGGATAAATCTATGAAAAATGGAATTGAAATCATGAGAGAAGATTAATCTTTAATATATATATACACATATTTTTAAAAAAAGATTAGGATGGCTTGACTAGTTCTGGATGAGTTGAAAGGGCCTGGCTGGCAGAATGGAATATGATTTCATTTCCTTTTTGGGGGGATTGACTTCTGCCAGTTTTATAAAGCAGTATCCTCCATCCCCTTCCACAGGCTTTTAAAGGGTAGGATGGTGTGGTAAGCAGAGTTCTAAGATGTTCCCGAGATTCACAGCCCCTGGCATACATGCCATGTATAATTCCCAACCCTTGAGTGTGGGTGGAAGCTGGGAATTGGATGATGTAGTTACTACTATGGTTATGTTACATATGTAAGACTCCCTCATAGTTAACTTGAAGAGGGCATGATTGGAAGTCAGAAGGATGTGCTCTGGGTGGCTGGGAGCCCTGCTATGAATGACCAGTGGGGGCCCTGTTGCAAGGAATTCCAGGCAGCCTCTAGAAAGTGAGAACAGTCCTTAGCTATCACCTTCATTGCAGCTTTGCAAGACCCAGGGAGGTGATGCAGCTAAGCTGTGTGTATACTCCTTAGCTATGGAAACTATGAGTAAGGGATGCACAGTGTTTTAAGCCACTGAATTTGAGGTAATTTATTACACAGTAACAGAAAACAAATGTGTGTGGCAAGTCTGTCCATGCTTCAAAAGTCATCCTGCAGAGAACCAATTTCAGTTTCTCTGTTTGGACATGAATAGGAGTTAGTCTTACATGACGGGGGGTTGGGTCATGCTGCTTTGGACATGGTTGGGGCCAATTCATACCCCCACCCCATAGAAGATTTGAAAGGTCCATTTGGATGAAAGTAATTAACATTGCTTTGAGTCTCTGACATAACCCCTTCCTGGATCCTGGATCTAATCAAACATTCAAAGTTAGAAAAAAGGATTTTTTTTTGACAGTGCTGGGAATTGAACCCATAACTTCATGCTAGGCAAGTGTTCTATCATGGAGCTGTACCTCCTGGTCCCTCAGAGTTACAATAGAAGATTGAGATCCTTTGCATAGAGCCTGATGAGCTGAGTGCTCAAAACTGAGGTTTAGAGTGGACCTTTTTTTTTGAGACAGGATCTTGCTATGTGGCCCAGGCTGGCCTTGAACTCACTATGTAGCCCAGGCTGGCCTCAAACACTGAGCCCTGCCTCAGCTTCCTGAGTGCTGGGATTACAGGCATCTGCCACCACACCTGGCCAGCATTGACCTTTGGAGCATTAAAAACCTGATGCTTTGGGTCAGGAATGTAGCTCAGTGGCATTGTGCCTGCCTGGCAAGCGCAAGGTCCTGAGTTCATTCCCTGATTGGATACTTGGGAATTCATTCCAAGGATAGCAGGTAAATCCTGCACTGATTTTCTAGGAGCTTTATGGATGAGAACCTGACCAGGCTGGACCTTCATGTCTCAGGACCTAAGCATTGTTGAGTATGTTGCTTTGAGCACTTTAATATCTGCAGGAAATTGAGCTGGGAAGGCAAGAAGATATACAGTTAACATCATTTTCTTTTTTCTTTACAGAATCAAAGTTATAAGGGCCATGGGTTGTCAAAAGGAAAAGAGCGGTGAGTGGTCCCACTCAATCCAGTAAACTCGGAACTAACTTCCTTCCTTTACTCCCCTCTCCTCCCCTCCTACCTCCCAGTCCATCCCCACGCTCTCTCCTCTCTCTCTTCCCCTCTCCTCAACACTCCTTTCCTCCCCTCCTCCCTCCCTTCCTTAATCTCTCTTCTTATTTTCACTTCCGTAAAGATAATGATAATACTTATAGTAGTAGTTTATTTTTGTAGTTTCGGGGCTTGAACCCAGAGCCTCAAGCATGCTGGGCAAGCACTCTACCACTGAGTCACATCCCCACTCCCAGTAGTATACTGATAAACAGGTATCGAACTCTTATTGTGTGCCAGGCCCTGCCCTACGCACTTTCCCTGTATGAAAGTATTATTTCATCAAATCCTTCCCGCAGTCTTTTAATACTTACTACCATTTTACAGGGGAGGAACTCAGAGAGGCTAAGTGACTTGCTTGAGATACTATGGTCAGTCAGTGGCAGAGCTTATTGGACTCCAGGGCCAACTATCTAACTATGCCCTCCTGCCTCCTTCAATGATCTTATGACTATCTGTGACCCCAGGGTCAGCTGTGCCCTAAACTTGTGCTTCACTCTCTGTCCATAATAGCCTGGATATAGGACTCAGCACATCTTTGGGTTCCCTAAAGAATCCACTTGCAGAGCTGGGGATGTAGCTCAGTGGCGCCATGACTGCCTGAGAAGCACAAGGTCCTGAGTTTGATCCCTGGTACAGGGGGAGGGTGTGTGTGTGTGAAGAATCCACTTGCAACCAGGTATAGTGGATGGTGGCACATACTTGTAACCCCAGCACTCTGGAAGCTGAGGCAGAAAGATTACAAGATCAAGCCTAATCCAGGCAACTTGGTAAGACCCTGTCACAAAGTTAAAAAAAAAAAAAGTTAAAAAGGGCTGGGACGTAGCTCAGTGCAAAGGCCTTGGGGTCAATTCCAGTACTGAAAAAAATCTGCTTGCACAACGCATGGAGGAACTATGAATTTTCTTGATGATGTTTGCAGGGAGCTAGAGCTGTTTACATTGCACACACCGTCTCCAGTTTTTAGCTATTTCCATTCTCTCTGGAGTCGCCTGGCAGTGCCACCTCTGAGGAGGGCCTGTGTGGGCTCTGGCCCCCTCTCTCAATGCACTATCTTTGTCTTCCCCTCTGTATAGATTCTATCCCCCCATCTGTTTCAGATCTCTCCCTCTCATGCAGGGGAGCTCAGTTCTGCTCCAGACCCTGGCCCAAATTTGCACACCCACCCTAACAAATTAAGAGCATTCCAGTCGACAGCCTGCACCCACCTATTTTATTAGGATACATATCAATTAGAAATGTGTTTGGGTGGGCTGGGGATTTAGCTCAGTGGTTCCAGCGCCAGCCTCGCAAGTGCAAGGTCCTGAGTTCGATCCCCGGTACCAAAAAAAAAAAAACAAAAAAACTTCTCCACATATAGAAATACATGTTTGGCTACAAGTAACAGAACACACAATGAATAGTAGTTTAAACAATGGTATTTATTTTTCTCGCATTACAAAGATACCAGAGTCTGCTGCAGAGGGAGCAGATAATGTCAGAGCCAGCGTCTTTGTGATTGTTTTGACCTTTTCCTCGTGGACACTCAGTGGCTCTTGCAGCTCCAGCTTTCATGTCATGATCAAGACAGGAGGAGGAGCAAGGAAACTGAAGCCATATCTCTGTTTTTCTCTCTATTGAAAGAATAAAACTTTCCCAGAAACCCATCCTTCCTAGCAGTCTCATGTTTTTATCTTGTTGATCAGAATAGCATCACATGGCCACCCCTCACTGCATGGATGGCCTGAAATGTAGTTACATAAGTGATGCTATACTGTTGCTACTACTCTACACCCTACTTTTGTCACATTCAATTACATTTTCAGTATTTTTCCATGCTGGTCCAGGCAGCTCTGGAAGTGCTGCCTATATACTGTTCATCACAAGCTATTTACCCACGTTCCTGTTGAGAGGCACTTGCACTGAGGCCTACTATTGGTTCCCCTGGAAGCCAACCCTGAGATAGGGATGTGAGAGCTTCAGTTGGTCTGGAAGGTGATTCCAGGGAGTGCTGGGAGGTGGGGGGTAAGGCTGCTGCAGAAGGTACCCCACTGACAGGTGCTACTTCCCTTATCTGCCCCAGGTGCTGGCTGAGCGAGCTCTGGAGGCCAGAGAGAACGAGTCCTCAGGCAGAGTTGCCACTGCTGGTGGCGGAAAGCACTCTGCTTGGCAGGCACAGAAATGAAGAACGCCCAGGGGATATGGGCAGACCTCCAACGGTGTATGCCATAGGTTCTTCCTGTGGAAAATATTAGCAATTATAGGTGACTGTCCCTGTACATGTGTTTTCGGTCCACGTGTAGGCTGAAGCCAAGGGTAGAGTAGCTGAGTTCAGGGTTTGCATATTCTGCCAGCAAAGGAGGGTTTCCATTTCATCTCAGTGTTGTCAAAACTTGGACTTTCAAGCTGGGCATTGCAGCACACGCCTGCAATCCTAGCACTGAGGCGGTCAAGGCAGGAGGATCTGGAGTTCTGGGCCAGCCTGGGGCACCACAGTAAGACTCCACCTCAAACAAAATGGAACAAACTTGGACTTTTAGGTTTTTGCCAGTCTAACATGTGTGACATAGTATCTCATGGTTGTGATATGCTAAATTGCTCTCAAAAGTTTATCCAATTTGTGCTTCCATCAGCATTGTAGGATAATTATCATTCCTCCACTTTCACATGAACACTTGGTATTTGAAGTTTTCTCCAATTTGATAGATTTGGAAACTGTTTTTCTTGCTTTGGATTGAGTATCTTTTAGTATTCCACTTGGTCTCCCTTTTTGATTTTTAGCTAAACCTCCTATTTTATTTTATTAATGGCTATTTTAGAACAGTGGTTCTCAAAATGTGAGCCCTAGATCCCTCTACAACTTAAACATTTTTGTGGACCCAATTAACTTATGTGGTTTGTGTCTATCAATATTTACCATATTGGAAATTAAGCTAATAAAAATTTAAATACTTACTAATTTACCTAAAAACAATAATATACTTATTACGTGGTAGCTAACATAACATATTTCTATGAACTGTATTTGTATTCCTCACTTGAAATTTACTGAGATGAGTAGTATCTGTTTTACACTTTTGTCTGACTTAACATTTGGCTTTCCAAATCTTTTGTATTCAATCTGTTGTGATATATTGCTTTGATTGAAAGATGGGAAGAAAATCCAGCCTCACAGAACTATGTAGCTTGGAAAGGGAAGACTGTGTGTACTTTCTAGAGTTGGGAGGCCCCTGCAATACATATGGCTCTAGGGGGTTACAGTATACATCTATTATGGTTTCAGTATGGTTTCCCCAACTCATTCAGGAGTTTCATCTCCATTATGTTAATGGTATAAGAGGGTAGAAATTCTTTTTTTCTGGTACCGGGGATCGAACTTGGTACTGGGGATTGAAGTCCTTGCGCTTGTGCAGCAAGCGGCGAAACCACTGAGCTAAATCCCCGGCCTGAGGGTAGAAATTTAATCTATGATGTTTAGAGGTGGGACCGATGGGAATACTTTTTCTGAATCAATTGATATGATCATGTGAGTTTTCTCCTTCTTTTTTTTTTTTTGGTACCGGGGACCAAACTCAGGTCCTTGGACTTGCGAGTCAGGCAGCGGAATCACTGAGCTAAATCCCCCGGCCCCATGAGTTTTCTTCTTTAGTCTGCTAACAAGATAGGTAAAATTTATTGATTTTCTAAAACTGAACCTTTCCTACTGGAAAATCCACTTGGTTATGATGTCTTCTTCTTCCTCTTTTTCGTCCTCTTCTTCCCTTTTTCCTTCTCCTTCCTCTTCCCCTCCTCCTCCTTCTTCTTCTCTTGTGCTGGGGATTGAAGCCAGGACCTCACACATGCTAAGCAAGCATTCTACTGCTAAGCTACATCCTCAGGCTCTGATCTGTATTTTTTGTTTTGCCTACTGTCTTTGTTTGATTTTGATATCAGGCTAACACTAGCTTTACAAAATGAGTTCAGAAGCTCTCCCTCCTCTTCCCTTTTCTGAAAGAAGAGATTGTGTAGGATTGGGGATGAGTCTTCTTTAACATTTAGGAGAATTCTCTAGTGAAATCATTTGGGTCTGGAGATGTCTTTTTTAGAAAATTTAAAATTATGGATTCAAATTCTTTAATAGTTACAGAGCTATTCAAATGGTCTGTCTCACAGTGGGTGAGTTGTAGCAGTGTGTGCTTTTCAAGGCCCATATCATCTGGTCATCACACTTGGGTGTGCAGTGGTGTCACCAGATCCTTACTAGTGGTCTGCTGTCTGTGGGGTCATTCTTCTGTTGTCTTCTGTTTTCTGTCAGTTTTGCTGACAAATAGCTTTGTCGATTTTATTGATCATCCCTAAGAACTAGCCTTTTATTTTATTTATTATAATTATTATTTTTGTTTTCAGTTTTATTGATCTCAAACTCTCCAGAAGGCCTTCTTTGTTATCACCCCAGAGTAACAGGGACATCTCGTGGGGGAGGAAGTCAGGTGCCAACGACATGGTCTCCAATGACTGGGAGTGGGGCCTCCTTACTACCTGGAAGGATGAAAGCCCAGCCTTGTCCTTGTCCTTCTCAGAGCCTCTCCAGCAGAGGCATTGAGGTGTCTTGTCCCAACCTCACAGGAAGTCTAGACTGCCCATTTGGCCTTTGGTGGCATAAGTAGGGATGGGGCATAGACGATTTCTGTGGGGTTTGGCTGGAGTGGAGTAATTACTCTGTCTTCTGTTGTGCTAGGTTGCTCTTTTCCTGGTCCTTTAGGTAGAGAGAGATGAATTTTGTTGGAGCTTTTTGTCTGTGCCCATTGGCATGGCTGGGTGATTATTGGTTGGCCTTTTAATCTCCATATTGGAGATGTACAAGGCAAAAAGAAACCTAGGAATTCACCACTATGTCATTCCTTTGGTCCTGAGACTCCTTGCCAGTCCACTGTTCTCTACCTTCCAGTCTTCTTATGGTTGTTTTATGTCTGCTGTCTGGGTTTGGGGCTGTATCAGTAGGAGGAATGGGGACAAGTACACCTGCTCCATCTTCCCAGATGCATGGTGTCTGCAAACACCATGTCATATAAGAATCAGTCATAGAACATGTACAGCACATAGTGGGCACTGGATAAAAATGCTTGTTATTTTTCACTGTTTCAAAGATTCTTTAAATTTTCAATTTGATGACTTGAAGTGTTGTCATTCCATGATGCTAAATTCTGAAATTCAGAAATTCTGTCTCTGGCATTTCTGAGTGTGAACTTGACCTTTCTTTCTTCCCTTTTTTCCTATCGCTGGGCCATTTCCTAGGGAAATCACTGATCCTGAGAAAGTCGTTTGTTGCCTTGTCTTGCAGAGAGCAGAGAGCATCGATTCGGTTCAAGACCACTCTTATGAACACTGTCATGGACGTCCTCCACAACAGGCCGGGATGGGTGGAAGTGAAAGAGTAAGACCCCTAGCCCCTCCAACTTTGTCCCCTCTTCCCTTTGTTTCACAGGTCCTTGTCTCCCTTTGGGGTTTCCCTGGGTGGCCACTTGGACTTACCCCAAAGTGGCTCTGACATTTGTTTTAGTTCCCACAATGTGTTAGGTGCAGTACTGACACATCTCTGTCTTACTTAAGCCTTAGAAGCATCCAGTAAGCTATGATAATGTGCAGAGGTACTAAGCCAGTTACTTAAGGTCACCTGGTACTAAGTGTCATCAGTTTGACTCACTCAGTTTGACTACCACAACGTCAATGTCCTGCCATTCTCAGAGGAACAAGGTGTCCAGGCAGCACAGACCTCCCATGTGTGTCCTCCAGGGATGGGCCCAGGTCAAGGGCTGTTCTTCCCTGGCCACTTTACCAGTCTGTGACCCAGAACAAGTGACCTGACTTGTAAACTTGCAATTCTTCTTTTGTACTGGACTCGGGGATTCTGATGGAGACAAACAAGTGTACAATGCCTGGCACATAGTAAGTAGGTGCTGGTCTTAGTGAGGACTAAGGTGTGAATGCACGTGACAGACACCCAAAGCGAAAAGGCTTCAAGAGGCTGGAAGTTTTTCTGTCTGACCCACTGAGGCTCATAAGCAGAGTGGGTGAGGGTATGCCACAGAAATGTGGAACATGTCTGTCAAGTTCCATCTTTCTATAATGTTCTCCCTTGAGCTCTTGTCCTCATGATCCAAGGTGGGGCTCCAGCCCTGTGTCACATTCCAAACAGCAGCAGGTAGGAAGGAGCAAGTAAAGGCATGACCTTTCCTCAGAGGACACTACCCTAAAAGTCCCTTGCCTCTTGATTGGCAGAATTTAGCTATGTTGCCGCACAGAGCTGCCAGGAAATCTGGAAAGTAGTATGCTCACTGCATTTCCCTGGGTAAATATTGAGAATATGATTGTCATAGAAAAAGAGGAGAATGGATGTGAGGGATAAGGGACTAGCAGCCACCATGCCATAGTGCTTGATAAGTGTTTGTTGCCTAACAATAGCTCAGCTGCTGCACTTGGTAGATTCCACATGTGCAGTTTCTTTTAATCATCTAAAACAAATCTTCCATGGAGGTGCTCTATCATTCCCATTGTACTAGTGAGAAAATTGGGCCAAACTAATGAAAATAGTGTGTTTGAGGCCACTTAATTTGTAAGGGCTTGGGTAGGATTTGAGCCTCATCTCCTGCATGTGGGGTCATAGGCTCATCTCCACCCCATCCTAGCTGCCTCTCAGATAGCAAAGAACAAGTGAACGTGTTGTGAACTCTGGTGCTGCAGTCTGGTAGGGAGATAGGCTGTAATTAATCATCCCACAGGAAATCAGCAGTGGAATGTGCTGGCAGGCTGCTGCAGTCCAAGGAGCCAGAGAGAGCCCAATCCTTCCAGTGGGACCTTGGGGACTATTACAGCAATGGTGGTGGTGTTGATGGTGGCAGCTACTGTGCATTTGCCTTTGTGGTTCTCTGATCACACTGGAATCAGAATGGAGTTCCTTCTTTGGAGCCAGAGGAACCAATGTAATGAAAGATAACTTGAGTGGGTGAGCAGGAGGAAGAGGGTGAGTTAGAGGGGAGGGAGGTGCTGGCAGGTGGGGGTGGTGCATGGGGCAGTACACTGTCTCTGCTTGCTGTGTGACCTCAGGTCCCACCCTGCCCCTTTCTTAGCCTCTGCTCAATGGTTGGGTGGACCCAAGGATGGTGGGTCTAGTCTGGTGCTGACAGTGTGGAGGTCACACTGCATGGCTGATCCCAGATTGCCGTAACAGTACTCTAACAAGGCAGGGCCAATAGGCCAGGGCCTTTCCCCCAGACACAGCTCTGTGAATCTGAGTTCTCATTTCTTGGGACTTAACTTGGGGCCTGGTATTTCCAAACAGAATATGGTCTCAGTACAGACTCTCAGTCTGTTAGGTCAGAGTCTAAAACAAATATGACCAAAACTATCCTTTCTCTTGCTTCCCACTGATAAATCTTTGTGAAGTCTGGAACTGCAGCAGCCATCTTGGGAACCTGAGGTGATGAAGATAAGGACATCATATTAAAGCTGGCAGCATGAGAAGTTGCTGTAACACACAGCTCCTTCTTTACCAGCTTCAGGTGGCTTCCTCTGTTAGCAGTTTATGTAGTTAGAATACATTTGTCAAAGCCTGGAAACCAATGCTGATACTATTTGGTAAACCACAGGCATCCTTTAAATTTTACCAGTTTTTTTTCCACTAACATTCTTTCTCTGTTCCAGAATTCAACCAATAATTCCATATTGCATTTAGTTGGCCTTCATTACCTCAGATGCGTGACAGTCCTTAGTCTTTACCTGTCTTCATGCCCTTCACACTTCTGATGAGTGCTCTTTAGTTGTTCTGCAGGCTGTCACTGGATTTGGACCTGTCTGATGTCTTCTCATCACAAGGTCCTGCAGTTTGACATGAACGCCACGAAAGTGACGCTGTGCAGTTCCCAGAGCAGCACATCAAAGGGCTCATGACACCAGCTTGTCCTATCACTGGGAAGGTCACGTGGATCACTGAGCTACAGTGGTGTCTGCAAGGTTTTTCCAGTGAAAATTAGCTTTTTAGAGAATTTGCAATTAATAAGTGTCTTGTGGGCCAATACTTTGACACTATGCCAATATCCTGGGCCCAGGAAATTTTCACACAGTGGCTTTAGCATTCTTTGAAGATTCTTACCTAAATCTATTATTGTTGCAATATTAGTGCAAGATGGTGACTAATTTGTTCAGTCCTTCTGCATTTATTTGTTTTGGGGGGTTTTTTTTGGTACCGGGGATCGAACTTGGGTCCTTGCGCTTGCACAGCAGGCGGCGAAACCACTGAGCTAAATCCCCAGACCGTTTCTGCATTTATTAGGTGACATTCTCTTGTAAAAGTTTTTCTCCCCCTGCTTCTTATTTATGTATTTACTTAGTGCTGGTTTGTCTCATTGATGTCTACTGTGTTGACTAGAAGCTTCCATTCTTTATTCTCTAGTAGGGAAACTGAGGCCCAGACAAGAAGGGAAGGTCACAAAAGAGTCTTTGCCTGTGGCAGGACCAGAATCAGGGCTCCTGATTTTGGGTCAATGCTCCTTGCCCTGCGTCCCACAGCTCCCTGCAAACATGAGGCTGGGGGAAAAGAGGGACATGAGGTCTGGCTGGGGCCCCAGCCTGCTGACCAACATCGGGGGCTCTGTGGTGCCTGTGGGTTTGCAGAGCATGTGGCCACCTCTTCAGCGGGTTCCCATGGACTACTGAGGCAGTTCTTCACAACCGCTGTGCCGTGGTGACAGCCCATGGGGAGGTTTGAAGGAGGGCCAGGCACCACGTGTTCATTAATAACTCGGGAAGACGGTGAGACATGGGGACCTCCTGACCTCAGTGTCACTGCCCCACTATACGTGTCACCCTCTGTGGACTGTGTGCTATTTACTTAGGATTATTCTGAGATTGACTCACTGGTTTTACTTAGATAAAGGAACTTCTATATCACTATGGTAGTGTCTGTAGGAGAGTTTGTGTATGTAAGTGGTATTTGTCTTGCTATTTATGATTTTTTTCTCCCAGTCAACATTAAAGCAGGAACATGGCCATCAGACTTTGTAAAAGGCACTCTGAATTTTGTGGGAGGTACCAGGCACCAGGCTGAGAGATGTCACCACACAATGCCCTCTGCAAGAGACAGAGAATTCTCCCTGGAGCCCAACCACCCCCACCTCTGAGCTCAGTGTCAGGCCGGACCTGTCTCCCTGCCTCAAGCCCTGCACACATGGGGTGATGTTCAGGAGAGACCCCCTGGAACTGCAAGGAACTGAGAAAGTTTGAATCTTTAGTTCCTGGAAGGCTCCAGGGAGCTCCATTCACAGCACACAGCCAACTTCTTGGTTGCCGTTCCAACCACCGTGCTCTGTACCAAACCTCAGAACTTAGTGTTAGGGCAGCGTAGTGTTGGGCTTACAGCCCCTGGGGGCAGGAATTCTGACTGGTATGGCAGGAAGGAGTCATCTGGCAAATCCTGCTTACATGTCTGTTGGGCCATCAAACAAAGAAGTTTCTCATGGCTTCTCCTGTGTCCTCACAGCCTGCAGCTCCTAGGTTGGGAGATATAGTAGTGTGGACCCCTTTCAGAAGTACAGTCTACCACAACATTGTCCTCCACTTAGGTGAGAGGAGACCAGAGTCATTGTCACCTAAGGTGGCTGCCTCCTCAGTGTTCTGTTTCTGCCTCAAGCCTCACCAAGATATTTTTCAACTCTCAGCCCATTGTACATTAAAGAAAAAACAAAGCAGAAGGGGACAACCCGAACACTTCCTAATAGGAAAATGGGTTAAATACACTGTGGTATGTTCACTCAAAGGAAGAGAACATGGCAGTACAAATGGCTGAACAAGGGGCTGAGTGTAGAGTATGTGCTTAGCATGAGTGAGTTCCTGGGTTTGATGCCCAGCACTGCAAAAAGAAAACAAGAAGAGGAGGAAGAGGAGGAGGAGGAGGAGGAGGAGGAGGAGGAGAAGGAGAAAAAGAAAAAGGAGCTGGACTGGACTCCTATGCATCAAATGGATAAATATCTAAAATAAGAGGTTGGTGGGAAAAAGCAAGTCATGAAAGGAAACAGTAGTTCTAACTGTGGAGCTTGGACTCTAGAGCCTGATGGCCTAAGTTCAGATCCTGTTCTGCAACTCACTACTGGATGAACTTGGGTGAAACTCTTTAAACTTTCTGTGCCTGCCTCAGTTTTCTGTTTTGTAAATTGGTCGTAATAATAGAAGCTAACAATAAAGCACTTAGAATAGTGCCTGGTACATACCTTATTTAAGCAATAAGTATTAACAGTTACAAAATTTAAAAACATACCCAACAATGCCACATGCTGTGTCTGAACATATATACATGGTACAACAAACATCTGGCTCCTGGCTTCCTTTGAGGCATGAGAGAAGGTGCTAGACTCAGGCAGGGATAGACTCAGGGGACTTCAGCTATAGCTGGGATTTTGTTTTTATTTTTAGAAAGTGGAAGCAATCATGGTGGTGTTTTATTTTCTGGCCCATCTTTTTGGAGCTCCGCAGTTCCTGTACCCTTCTCTTGTACCCAGATTTGGTAGAAGACCTGGTTACCTGTCATGGAAATGAAAGTCTGGGGTCAGAATTTGGACTCTGGCAGAGCTGGGTGTGGCCCCACATCCTCGGTGAGAAGGGTGAGAAGGCCATTGTAGCCCCTTAGAGCTGTGGGGATGGATGATCATTGTCACCTCTCAGGAATGCTCTGAGGATTTGGTAATGGGAAACTTTGAGCTGGGAGGAGCTTGCAGATGTGACCCAGTTCCACCACTTGATACTACAAACTGCAGGGTTGATGGCAACATGGATGCCCCTGGGGCAAGGCAGGTAACAGACAGGTGTGTCACATGCTACAGTGCATGGGCGTGGGGTGCTTTGGAGAGGGCATGTCCTGTCACTGAGAGGTGCCAGAGGGACTCTGGGCTCAATGTAGCCAGATCTGCTTCAGGTCAGGAGAGCCAGTGACCTGCAGCAGCAGCAGCAGCCACAGCACCTCCTAGGGGCTCTTTCGGGATACACCAGGTCCTCCCTGGCCCCAGACCCCCAGCAGTGCTGAGGCCCTCACATCATGACCTTTCTCCCGCAGTGAAGGGGAATGGGACTTCTACTGGTGCGATGTCAGCTGTCTCAGGGAGAACTTTGACCACACCTACATGGATGATCACGTGCGGATCAGTCACTTCCGGAACCACTACGAGGTGAGCTGGGCCTGTGGACTCATGTGACTGGGTGTGGTGATGGGCAGGAGCTGGTCTGGGGGCTCAAGCCCCAGGATGGAAAAGTGTAAGGGAATATGGGGGTACATGCTAGGTGGGGCATCTGTAGCCTGGATACCCGACGAGCTAGATGGCTTGAGGGTGTACGAAGCTAAGGCCTAAGGCCTAAGACTGTCAAGATGGGGATTTGAGGTCACAGGCTTGGAAGAGTAGTCTGGCTTGAGGCTGCAAGCTTCAAAAGAAGAGGATGTTTTGAGGATTAAGCAGAGAAGTTTGGGGTTTAGACAGAAGGGAGATCTTGGAGGAGCCAGACCACAAAGATGGCCCTGGAGGAGCTATTGGTGGGAGATTTTTTAAAGGTTAGAATAGCTTAGCAGTTAAAAATAGGAACTTAGGAGCCAGACAGGACTGGGTCAAACCCTGGATGTGCTGCCAGTTAGTCAGACAGCCCTGGGCAACTACTTAACCTTGCCGGGCCTCTGTTTCCTGGTTTGTGAAGTGGGAATAATCACAAACTGCAGGCACTGCAGCAGAGCCACTGTTACTGCTACAGCATTCCATGGACTGAAAAATAGGTGTGGGGTTTGGACTGGTGGGACTGGGGTTTTGGGGCGGAAGCAGAAGGCCCACTGCCTGCCCTGCCACCCAGCTGACCCGCAAGAACTATATGGTGAAGAACCTGAAGCGGTTCCGGAGACAGCTGGAGCGCGAGGCAGGAAAGCCGGAGGCGGCCAAGTGCGACTTCTTCCCTAAAACCTTTGAGATGCCCAGTGAGTACCACCTGTTCGTGGAGGAGTTCCGCAAGCACCCAGGGATCACCTGGATCATGAAGCCTGTGAGTGACCTGCAGGTCCTGGGGCAGTGGGACAGTGGGGGTCAAGTGGAGTCCGGGGCCCCAGCGCAGGGACCGACTGTGCCTGGGCAGTCAGCCTTGGAGCACCTTCTCTGCTCCCCGAAGCACCAGCTTCAGTCCTTTTTGTCTGAAGCCTTTGGACCCAGCAGCTGACAGCCACACCTGGCAGGTGCTTGGTGAATGTTAACTGAAGGCACAAGTGATCATCAGGACACTGGGGCAGGGAGTCCAGAGACTCTCTTCCTGATGTGAAAGGAAACAGTGACCAGGCCATGCCAAGTGCTTTGTTGCATGGCTGTCCTTGGGTGAGTGTCATAGCCCCATTTCAAAGACGAGGCACCCAAGAGGCCTGTGAACTCAAGTATCCCACAGGTGCTGGGACCAAGGCGCTGGGATTGCAGCTCTCAGCAAGTCACACATGGTCTCTGCCCTCCTCGAGTGGAGACTGTGAGCCAACCAAGGATTTGTGTATGGTCACAGATGTGCTGAGTGTCATTAAGAAGAATAGTGTCAGGAGAGGGAACAGCAGGGGGAATCTCCCTAATTAGGCAGGCTCTCAGAAGAAGTAAGAGATTGGGCTCATACAAGCTGTACCACTTACTAGCTGTGTGACCCCAGGCAGGTTACTCAACTTCTCTGTGTCAAAGCTCCCCAAAGGGAGAATAACTGTAGTACCTACTGCATAGCAGTGTTGTGTGACTGAACAAACAAGTTAGCACAGGTAATCCACATACTAAGGACTCAATAAATAATAGTCATGAGTATAAGAATTAGTAGTGAGCTTGACCTGAAGGATGGCTAGGAGCCAGCCTGGACAAGGGTGGAGGTGAGGAACAGCACTGCAGGCAGAGAGAACTGCACACACTGAGGCCTTGCCCTGGAGGCAGCCCCGCAAAGGGAGTGGAGTGAGGTGCCAGACTATCTGCAAGTTGCTCAGCCCTTCTGTGCATCAGGGCTGCCCTCACCACAAAGCCTGGGCCACCACAGCCTTGAAAGGCATCACCAAAGCTCCCTGTGGTTCCAGGCCCAGGAAGGGATTGGGGTAGGCCAGGAGCAGCCCTTCCTTGTGGAGCCGAATATGGAGCCCCATGTTGGCTGATGCTGATTTAGCAATTAGTCCAGTGTTACAGGGGACAGAAGAAAGCAGCACAAGAGATGCTCCCATGGGGCTGAGCCAAGATGTCCCAGACTTCCTGGTCCTCCCTGGGCCGCCTCCTCCCCTGTGTCCTGGGCAGGCCCAGTGAGGGCTCTAGCCTGGGCGGCAGGGATTAGGATGAGTGCTGTGACCCAAGGGGCAGATTCGAGCTCCCACCATTATCCTCTCAGACAAATGATAATCTGGACTAATTGCGAATGAGCAGTTGCATATTAAGCTGATTCCTTTCCCAGCCCAGGGCCTTTGTTAGCAGCAGACGCGATGATGGCTGTAATTAAGAGGCAGAATCTTGGCTGTGTGGGTGTGGGTGTGTGTGTGTGTGTGTGTGTGTGTGTGTGTGTGTGTGTTCTCCCCCGAACAGCTGAGGCACCGTCTCTGGGGTGCAGAGTATGGAGAGCAAATGTTTCTAGTCTGCATGGACCGGGTTCTAATTCTGTATCCACCACTTACAAGCTGTGTGATCCTGAGCAGGTTGCTCAGCCCCTCTAAGTCTCTTTCTGTCTGTAACCTGGGATTGACTGGGACCGGCTGAGGGGTTCCGGAGACTGAAGGGGTTGTGAGTGAAGGCAGTGAAGCTATGCATGTTACATATACAGGGCACATGAGTTACATCAAGGCCTTGCCATGAGGTGCCCGATAACCAATCGTTTTTCCATGTTATTTCCAAGAGCCCAGGAAATACCCCTTCTTGCACCTGCCCTGGGAAGCACCAGGTCAGTGTTTCTCAAACTTACACGTGGCCATGCATCATCTGGGGATCTGATTAAAAGGCAGAGCCCTGGGCCGGGGATTTAGCTCAGTGCTTTCACTGCCTGCTGCCTAAGCACAGGGACCCGAGTTCAATCCCCGGCACCAAAAAATAAAAATAAAAAAGGCAGAGCTCAACTCTGCAGATCTGGATGGGCCTGAGTGGCTGCAGTTCTAACCCCTACCCCAGTTGCCACTGGTCCTGGTCCCCAGATGGACAACACTTGGAGTGGGGAGGTTGGAAAGCAGCAGTTCCCAAGCCTGGGCTGGGCCAACTCTCCTGGCCTGTGAATATGCTCTCCTGACAAGTTCCCAGGGCTCTCCAGGGAAACCCAAGCCCAGAGTGTGGGTGTTTAAGGACTTGGCTCATGTGGTATCATAGGGACCAGCAAGTTGGAAATTGGCCGGGCAGGCTAGCCAGCTGGAAACTCAGGCGGGATTTCTACGTCACAGTCACGGGGCATAATTTCTCCTCCCCTTCTTGCTCCTCCTCCTCCTCCTCCTCCTCCTCCTTCTCTTCTTCCTCTTCTTGTTCTTCCTTTTCCTTTCTCTCTTCCTCCTCCCTTCCTTCCTTCTCCTTCTCCCTCTTTTTCTCTTCTTCTTTTTTCTTTTTTTTTTTTGGTACTGGGGATTGAACTTGGGCCCTTCTGCTTGCGAGGCAGGCGGTGGAACCACTGAGCTAAATTCCCAGTCCTCTTTTCTTCTTCTTTACAGTACTGGGGCTTAAACCCAAGGCCTTTGCACTGAGCTACATCTTTAGCCCTTTTTTATTTTTTTGGTACCAGGGATCGAACTCGGGTCCTTGTAATTTTGAGGCAGGTGGTGTAAGCACTAAGCTAAATCCCCGGCCCTTTAGCCCTTTTTTATTTTGAGACAGTTTTGATAAATCATAGCCTGCTCTCAAATTTACAATCCTCCTGTCTCAACCTCCCAGAATGCTGAGATTAGAAGGGTGTGTCATGATGTCCAACTGAATTGCTTCTTTTCCAGGAACCTCAAGTTTTGCTCTTAAGCCCTCAACTGGCTGCATGAGCCCCACTCACATTATTGAGGGTGACATCCTCAACCAAAAGTCACTAGTTGTGGGTGTCAGTCACACCTACAGAACACTTTCAGAGCAACATCCAAACCAGCATTTAACTAAACACCTGGCACCAGCACTCAGCTGGCTTGATGTCTGAAATGAACCATCACACTGTGACACATTTTAGGGTGAAAGCCCTGACTCTGGGGTCCCAACAGACCAGGCTTGGCCACTCATCCCAAATGTGAATTCGGGAGACCAGCAGAGGTGAAGGGCATGAAAGGAGTCAGCATCCCCACGATGGGAGGAGAGATAAACAGGTTCAATATCTGACTTTGAGCTGGCATTGGTGGCACACATCTGTAACCCCAGCACTCTGGGAGACTGAGGCAGAAGAATCACAAGTTCTAGCCAAACCTTAGAAACTTAGCAAGCCTCTGTCTTTAAAATTTTTTTTAAAGGGCTGGAAATGTAGCTCAGTGTAAAGGCCCTGAGTTCAATCCCCAGTACTCCACAACCCCAAATCTGTCTTTGAAGGGTTGACAGAAGTTTTGGGGTTTTATAGCAAAGGGGAACAAAGGCAAGGGTTGGGGTTAGCATAGCTGGCACTGTAGGTAGTCCTGGTCAAGCTGTTTTCTGGTTAAGTCATATCTCTGGATTGATTCTGCAAGGTTCTGGGAGAGCATTATTGCTTGAGGGTGCTGTTTGGTTCCTATCATGAGATGATGGGTTCTGCTTAAGGGGGGCAGCCTTGGTTCCTCTCCTGGAGTAAGTGCTTCTGCATCATAGGGTGGTCTGCAAGGCTCTGCTTTCCCTGGAATCTGAGGTGGCTGCAGGTTTAGGATAATGACCAGAGACTTGTAGGCATCCAAGGGGGTCTGGACTTGGATGTTGTAAAAGTTAAGAGTTGGATGTCCCTGCAAATCCTGAAAATTACTTTTGTTACTCATATCCTCATGTCCTCAGTCTTGAAGGGGGATGAGACAGGCTGGGTAAATTTAGAGAGCTAATAAAGGTTGTGATTTGGACACTATTAAGTGATGATCAGGCCTGTGTGCAGAGCTGAGCAGGGTCCTGCCCCAAAGTTTTAAGGTAATAAAGGAGACAGATATAGATCTGAAAGCAGAGGTGCCAAGCTCCTTCCTGCTTTCAGTTACCCACTGGGTATCTGCAGGCCCAGCCTCTAGGTCCCTGTTACGATGCCAGGCTACAAGGGTGCTACTGGTTGCTACTACACTGAGAGCTAGGGGCTGGGATGTTGGTCCTGGAATTTGGATTTCTTTGGGTGGATGGGTATGTTAAAAAGTAGAACATTACTCTAAATTTAAGAGCTAGAGGGAGAAAGTCCCCAAGTCCCTCCATTCTTCCCACAAGCTCTGTCTTTGTGACTTGCTTGGTCCTGTCACATACAGGCAGAAATTTTCCTATCATTGCTATGGCCTGGCCAGTCTCAAGACAGCCTTTCCTCTTTGGCTTTCCCTCTGGTGTTTCTCTCTGCAGTGGTGGCAAAACAGCCAAGGAAGAGTTGGAGTCAGGTTGGAGTCAGAAGGGAGCAGGCAATGTTGACCCAGTGCCACTCAGCAGGGACTCTTTTCCTATGTGGCCTGAGGCCCAGGCCATCTTCCAGTTTTGCAATAATTCTTGCGGAATGTAAGAGCAGGTCACCAACAATGAACCCACTGAGAGAGAGATCAGGAAAATAATCCTGTTCACAGTAGCTTCAAAAAAATTGAATACCTAGGAATTAACCTATAATCAGGAACTGAAAGACTATAGATGAAAACTACAGTATACTCTGGAAAAAGAGTTTGAAGAGAACATCAGAAAATGGAAAGACATCTCCTGCTCCTGGATATGGAGAACCAATATTGTCAAATGTCCACATTATACAAAATGATATGTAATATCAATCAAAATACCAACAGTAGTCTTCACAGAACTAGAAAAAACAAGTCTAAAACTTACGTGGAGCCAAAAGACAGCCAGAATAACAAAAGCAGGAAGCATCACAATCCTGGACTTCAAGTTATACTGCAATGCTACAGTAATAAAAAT